CTTTACTTCTGGTGCAGCAACTCCTTAAGATGGCCAAACTGCCCTCTATCTCTTAAATCCACAGAACTTCTTTGAAATTCAGGATGTTGTGTTCCTCAAATTTTCTACTGTTTTGGAGATTAGCAATTTGCTCTGAACTTCTGAGAGGATCAGAGAGCTAATGAAAATATGTAACGTTTGAAAAACTTCTGAGAGGTTCACGAACTACAGATAGGTTCTGCGAACTTCGAAGACCATTAAAGTGCATAAAAGAGGATCTGCGTACATCAGAATTTGGAGAAGTTTAGAGTACTTACATCTTAATTGGTGTTTAGGGAACTTAGGTTGTGGAAGTTCTGAATGTTTAAGAGCTTTCAGAGTTTTGGATATACGGCTAAATATCTCCCTAATAAAGTTTAAAAAACAAACAACAAAGAGTTTTGGAGATCTCAAAATCTCAGGTACGTTTTGAGAATTAAAGAAACGTTCTAAAAATGGACCTTCGGGCAGGCTTGCAATTGCTCATTACAGCTAAAATGCTATTTTTCGGTATTATGAAACAATGGGATACTATAAGGATAATTTTTATTTGTAATATGCCAAGTACCACAATCGACGAACTAGATTAAAGAAGTATCACGGTACTACCATCATGTCTGTCAAAGGTTTTAGGGACTGCTGATCATCGTCCTCGTAGGACTTTCAACAGAACTGTACGCTATGGTGCAAGAGGGATTGGGGAAAGCGCAACAAACCGCTCATAAAAATCTAAAGTTGCAATTGATATGTAAGTAGGGGAAGGTGGGGCATAGTGAGCTTCCTGTGCTTTAGCCTTTGGTTTCTTATGGTTCGAAACAAATTAATTGGTCATTAATCATTGCAATGGTGTTATTGAACCCAATTACCTGATTTTTCGAACAATTAGAGGTTTGGGACTGTAGTGCGGAATACTCATTATGCAGCACCTGTTCATTATGCCCCTCTTACCCGAAACTCCCGGCACTGATGAAATGCAGCCACTAGAAACGACTTGTACGTACATCAAAGGGCATCAAACCTTGACCTAAATTGTAAGTAAGTTGAAATTTTTTTCAAAATAGAAAACATCCACAGAATTTGAATCCTTTGGCATTCTCTTGGATTTCTCGCAGAAATTCTCTCTTCTGTGCTTTAAATTATCTTCATTATTCCGTTAGGATTCTCTTTAAAATCCATCGAAAATTTTCCTCACTTTCCTTGTCCAACGTCCTCCGATTAGACTTCATCTGCTGCACAATGTTACGCCAATTATCTCGGTTCATGTCTCCAGTTTTTTAACGTTCCACAGATCTAGCTCCACTTGGTCTTATCACCAAACTCGCTGCGCTCGTCTGAGTCTTGTACCAGTAGAACTCAAGGCAAACACCATTATTTTGTCTCGCCCATTTTCTTCTCCATACACCGTTTTCATAGGTAGGTACTGTGCAATAAAGGTCTTAAGCACACGTCGTTCGAAAACTCCCATCAGTGCTTTTAGGTTCTCCTCGAGTATTCTTCACGTCTAGTGCGCGTAGAGAAGTACCGATCCTACCAGTGTAGCTTTGTACATGATACACTTAGTACGGAGCAGAAGTTTACCAGACCTCAAGGTCTTATGGAGTCCATAGTAAGCACGACTTCCGGCGTCTTCGAATTTCTCTGCTACCTACAGTTGGCATCCGACGTCGCTGTTCTTCGGCTGTTAGATAACACCGTTAACATCACTTGTCGTGGGAATTGGCATGTCTCCTACGTCCGCCGTACCTTTGAATTCGGATCAGAACTCGCTTGAAGTTATCCGCAGACCTTCTCGGCATTCCTGACGACCAGTGGCGTCCCGTAACCTCACTTTTTACCTGTGCACCAACTTTCAAAACCAGATTTAATGCCGTATTCATACTAGAATCGGTTGAAAAATACTCTAAAATCTTCTAGTTTACTCGATATCTATCCATTGCAAGCAATATGTTGATAATTGTTTATGTTTTAAGAGGTGGTGCACAGGTAGATTGAGGTTAAGGAAACGCCACTGCTGAGGATGTATGAATCCTTCATCTAGTGTTTCTCAGAATACCTCAGGAACTTTTGTCAGGATTCCCACAGAATCACCCCTTGAATTCAGAATTGAGAGGTGTCGAGTTCGATTCGGAACTTCTAGGGTTGAACATTTTGTGTATAGACAATTCTTGAAAGGATTGCCTGGAAGGAAAACAGACTTAGATTTTCACCTTGTACTTCGAGGATATACCGACGGGTTGATTTGATGAGGCTTTCATGTGAATCCTCGACCATTGGGGATTTTTACCATTTAACATTCCTTTTAAAAACACAAGAAGTCTACCGCCGGTGAAGCTTTCGTTAGCTGATGAATAATACAAAAGTAGTGACAGCTATGTAATCGCGTGAAGGCGAATAGAAACTGGAACTAGCTTTGAATGAACGCGGGACGACCGCTGAGGAAGCGGAAAATAGCACCGATTGAGGCGATGACTCCGTGAACATTATCTGCCTTCGAGGCTATAAGGGTCGTATAGGATGAATTGACTCCGCGTGCTCGTCATGAGATCCCGTGAAAGTGGATCGGAACGATCAGCTGCATTTAAAGAACCTGATAATCCTTAAGTAACATTGCAATCTTCATAGAGGTTTTATAGCATTCTACAAGCCTAAATCATGGTCTACAGAACCCTCATAAAACCAAAATTGTTACTTGGAAATAACTGCCTAACCGAGGTAATCGCAGAGGTAATGGTGAATGCTCTGAAATCGATCGATCAACCCATATTCTGGTTTACTATTGAACCGTATTGTCCATACAATTTGCTGTATTGAAAATACTTGGGTGATAATCGCGGAATTATTCTATGATTTCAACCATGGATTAGAAAATCCAATTTCGCTGAAATCAATTTTTTCCATTGGACACATCGACATCATCGCCGGGAGATCTCTTGAAGGAGGTGAATCAGGACGACTGTCCAGCTTAGATTAGACGGTGGTCCTGTGAGACTGCAATAAGATCATACGAAGGTCCAGAATAGCTTTTCTTGAATAGAATCGGGACGATATTTTTGAGACCTCGGAAAGCGAATCGGGACGACTGCTGAAGAACGTGCAGAAGATCTTTTCAGTTCTATATTTATCAAATTGAATGATAAGAAATTGCCTTAAACGGTAACCGCAAAATACACAATAATGACTAAAAGTATGCTTTTTCGAGCGAAAATGCGACTACCCATTTATGAGTAACTGTTACTTACAAATTAATAATTTTTACTCATTTCTGTAGTAACAATTAGACCTATTCTGCGCGGCATGTGAGATGAGGTGACAGTGAAGGGACAATAATTGTCACCTCGGGTGAGGTGAGCCTCCGTGCAAATCAAATGGAGAGTCACCTCACCCGAGGTGATAATAATTGTCACTTCACTACTGACAGCGAGTCACCTCATCACGCCGCGCAGAATATGCGTAAATTACTCATTTATGGGTAGTCCCATTTACTACCAAAACAAAATGCATACTTCATTGTCATTATTGAGTAATTTGCGGTTACCGCTACTTGCCCCAACTGCCGAACACCCGTGCGAATCTGCTAGGATAAACATTGCGAACAAGTGAGCACGGATGCGCGTTGTCTAAATCAATTAGTAACAACACCCTGCCAAACGTTTTGATTGGATTGATAAAATCGAACAAAACAGAATTGTATTTCCCTAATATAAACAATAGGCAAACACTGCGGTCACCTAGCTTTTTTTTTTTATCTCTCAATGCGCGCATTTGTGTTAGGTATTTTCCTCCAGTAAAAAATAATTGTTTGAAAATTACTTACTCCTCCGCACATTTACACCATCATAACGACGATACATTGATTAGTACCTACACATACATATGTCCGGAGAAGAAAAAAATGATTCCAAAATGTTCGCTGTGCTGATTTTAACGGGTCTGATGTCTGTATCCGTCTGCCGGTAGTGTGCTTGCATCTATTCCTAATCATTTACAATTATTATTCTTGCAATCTTTTTGTATGCCGTGTAATCAATATTCATATATAATCGTTACTTTTCTGAGTTTATCAATAAGTTGCTATGTACAAAGCGATAAAATATACCGTGTAAGTGTGTGTGTATGTGTGCTTTTTTTGTGTACGTGAAATATGAATCCTTCATCTAATGTTTGATTTTCGTTTAAAAAATATATAATAAGATTATCATGAGAAAAGACCTAACCTGTCGGTTCGGCATTATGCATAGTTTTGAAATTGAATAACTTTACTCTGCCGATTCGCTAAAATTTTACTAAAAAAAAAACTGTATCTCATCATTACTTTTCTTATGTCCACTGACTAAACAAAACTGTCTTCCCTTTTTGATACGTTTTGCAACGTAATTCCTTACTCCTACACGCGATCAAAAAATGTAGGTGATGTAAATGATTTCTATTTTCCTAGTTTTGGAAAAACAGGAACCACTTACCCAACTCTGCCCCAGAGTTGACCATCAACTGCATTCAATAAATTAGAGAATTAAAAAGTGCTTATAGGACGACGCCATGTCACCTTCGGCGGTGTTACCTCTATTGTTGTTGCTACTGTTGCTGCCGTTACCTCCATTGTTGCTGTTTCTGTTGTTGGTGATCGCATTACGATTGTTTGCTGCTGCTGCTGCTGCCGCTGCCGCCGACGTAACGGTAACGACAGTCGTTTCCCCAGTCTGGGTACCCACCTGGTGGTGCTGCAGCTGCTGATGATGCTGCTGTACGTCGTCTTCATCATCGTCGTCCCCATCGTTAGTGGCATCGATGATAACTCCGTTGGCATCGACGCCCGCCGTGCCAACGCCGCCATCCATTACTACTTCTTCCTCCTCCTCCACCACAATGCCTTCGCCCGTTTCCTCCTCAATCTCCACATCTACGCCACTATCGATGATGCAATCGTAATCGACCCCTTCAACTATTTCGTACACGTCGCCCCCGTTGTCGACGTCATCGTCATCGTTCTAAGTCAAACGATTCGGCTGATCCGGCCGACGTTCCTCTATCGTGTAGACGGTATTGCCGACGCGGAACAGCTCCGTGTGAGGGCGCAGCGTTGGTTCGTGCGTTGCGATAATACCGGCCTCGATCGACTCGCTGGTACGGATTAGAGTGGCCTAACGAAATCGAAAAAGATTATCATTAGCATTATCACAGCATCGTTCTTTTCTTTAATGAATAAATTAGACCCCCGTTTGCCGTTTATTAAATTAGACCAATTCAAAAGCCAATCAGGCCGGGCCTTGAACTTTGATTCAATTACCATTCTTCCCAACGTACCTGATTCAGATTTCCGATCGCTAGCTGATGTCCATCCAGCGTCTGTACCTGGGCAATCGAAAGCGAAGTCGTTCCATCGGCGTTCTCGTGCTGTGTTACCACGTGCTGTTGACCGTTTGCCGCTGCCTGTTCCAACTGCTGAGCCTGTGCCTGGGAAACCGTTACCGATATCGTTCCTGCCGTTTCGATGGTGGTCTGCTGCTGCGCTTGCTGTTGAGCTTGGGCTTGCTGCTGTTGTTCCACAGTTGTAACGGTTCCGTTGCCTGCTGTGCCGCTGGTGTTTGCCTGTCCTCCATTTGCATTGCCTGCCGAAGAAATCGAATACACCATGGTGTTCTCATCGTCCAACATGACTCAAATTACCTTGCTTGCTCTTCTTGACGCGTTCCTTCTTCATGCCGGGTTTCTTGAAATGCCTCAACTCCAAGTGACGACGCAAGTTACGCGACTGACGGATCACGGCTTGGCAGATCGGGCAAGTGGCTGGTTGTTCCGATTGAGATTTGTTCTTGATTTCTGCAAATAAAAAAGGGAAATCATTCAAACTTCCACTGGGACGAGAACCCCAAGAAGTAGCCCACTTACTGATGATTCCGTCCTTCGAGTCCATAACCGAGCCTCCGTCCACAGCTTGCGATTCCTTTTTGATGTCCTTGACGACGTTGGCCGCTTCCTCTGCGCTGTTAACGATGATCGTCTGGATGGTGCCTTCCTCGTCCGTTTTCATGACCTTGGCCGCTTGGGTTCCTCCAGCGGAGACGGTAGCCGTTGCCTGTTGCATGCCGGTGGCGTTCTGTCCTTGCGATTGCGATGGCTTCTTCGTGCGTTGCTTGCGCTTGCGGGTGGGCAAAAATTGACTGATGACATCCTTGGTGACCTCGTCGCCCATCTGTTCCGGTGTGATTGTTTCGATAACCTGGGCCTGGATGGTCTGTGTGGGGGTCAGTGTCGTGATGAGATCTTCCGTCTGTTTTGGGAGGAACAAAAATGTTAGCATTTTTCTTTTTCAACGTGCCTATAATGCATTTGACTTTGCTTGTCATTTTAATATTGTTAAACAGATAAGTGTTTTTTAACTTTAACTTCTAGCAGGTAGCGAACGTTAGGTAACATTTAGTTGTTCAATCCGCTGATTTCAGAGCAATGGCCGGAACATATTCCGGCGAGTATGGGTCTTTAGACTAAACCTAAAATTAGCATACCAACGCCCGGGAATTCCCATAGAATTATGCTCCGGATTATTTTCTCGCAGAAACTTCTTGAAATTATTCTCGGAATTCCCTTGTATTTCTCTTTTAGTCACTAGAGTACTCCTCAGAATTATCATGGAATAATCCTCAGAATTCACTTCCAAATTTATTTCTAAACAAACAAATGGATTACACTTAGCGGCGCCGGTGGTGTAGTGGTAAGCGTGATTACCTCTCACCCCAGCAGGCCTGGGTTCAATCCCAGTCGGCGCCGCCGGGATGTTTTGAGGCATAGCAATCTCTGGAAGTGAAGCCTTTGATCCCCGGTTCATGAGTTGATGGGTCGATAGGTACGATCGAGGTGTGGTAGCTGACGCCAGGGAGTGTTTACGATAGTACAGTGCGCAATTTTTACAATGGAAGGGCGAAACCAATGTTGTTTACCAACAAAAGTGAAAATAGTAAACGACAGTTTAAAGGAAAAAAAACAAAAACAAGGCGCATAGTATTGGGCGAATTGTTGTTGTCATACATGTTAGGGACGATTTAATGAGGGCGTTTTCTTAACGTTCCACATTTACGGGCGAAATAATAAAATTGACGAGTTTGCAAGAGAAAATGAACAACACTCAACACAAATAAAATTGGATAAATTCTATGATCATACATATAAGCATTGGAATCGAGCAATGAGATGGGACCCATGACAAAAGATCTTAAAGATAAAGCACTTCATGAGAAAATACGAGGAGTGCTTTACCGGCCTCATGGAGCGAATAGCCTCGACAGAACTGAGACTATCCGTAAATCCACGTAAAACTGGCAAAGTCCGCATTGTTTGGGACGCGGGAGCACGCGTTGGCGCCGTATCGCTCAACTCCATGCTTTCAGCAGGACCGGATTTACTAACTCCACTGCTGAAAGTCATGTGTGGATTCCCTCAGCGGCACTATGTATCAGTAGGTGATGTCCGTCAAATGTTCCACCAGATGCTTGTCAAGGCAGCTGACTGTCAGGCTTTGCGTTTCCTATATCGACAAGACACAGCTCAGAATCCAACTATCTATGTAATGGACGTCGTAATCTTTGGAGCTTCATGCTCCCCTTGCCTGGGGCACAGTACGTAAAAAACTTGAATCATCAACAATACTTCTTGGACAGCAGTGATACGATCGACGAGGCAGTCAAGATAGTTGAAGAGGTACGCATGATATAAGGCAAGGCTGGATTTGAAATCCGAAATTGGCGATCTAACTCCGAAGAAAGTCTGCGACGGGTCGGGGTTAAGTTAACGATAGCGGAACGAGTTCTGGGAATGACATCCTGTAGATGACATGTTTATATTTACTGCACAGTTCCGTGACGACCTGCTTTCTCTACTATCGGGGGAAATTGTGCCAACAAAGAGGCAAGTTCTCCGAGTGGTCATGAGCCACTTTGATCCGCTCGGTATAAAGGGCGAACACGAAATTATTGCGACACCGAAAATGTCATGCCAATTTTCTTATAATGTTTAGAATCAAACCAAAATTTTAGGGTAGTTTTATACATATATTTACTTCAAAAATCAAAAGAAAAGTTAATCGATGGAGCCTTGAGTGTAAAATTGAACGCATTTTCGCTTGATGCCCCCATCAAAGTCTTTACAGTGTCATCCGGTACCAGTTTCTCAGTTTTTTTTCCATTTTCTTAACATGTCCTTCTCGTCTTTGACTGTCTTCTTGCTCTTCCGAAGTTCTCGCTTCATTATTGCCCAGTACTGCTCCACCGGGCGCAGCTCCGGACAGTTTGGCGGATTCATGTCCTTTGGAACAAAATGGACAGAATTGGCCTCATACCACTCCAGGACACTTTTAGAATAGTGGCATGATGCCAAATCTGGCCAAAATAGCGGAGCTTCGTCGTGCTGCTGCAAGAACGGCAAAAGGCGCTTCTCGAGGCACTCAGATTTGTAGATCTCGCCATTTACTGTGCCCTTTGTCACGAAAGGCTCACTCCTTAGTCCGCAAGAGCAGATGGCCTGCCAAATGAGATATTTGGAGGCGAACTTCTTAAATTTGTCGTCCACATCGAACTTTTTTTATCTTGCTCTTGCCGGTGAAAAACTCCAACCCCGGAATTTGCTTAAAATCGGCTTTTATGTATATACGTTTCGTCGTCCATCACACAGCAGCCATATTTTGTCAGCATCTTCTCGTAGAGCTTCCGTGCCCGAGTTTTAGCCGTCGATTGTTGCCGCTCATCGCGGTTTGGGAAGTTCTGTACCTTGTATGTATGTAGTCCAGCTCTCTTCTTTGCATTCTGGACGTAGCTCTGCGACATGCCGATCTTTTTAGCCAAATCACGGCTTGAGACGTTGGGATTTGCTTTAATCATCCGCTTCACCTTTCCCTCCGTCTTTTTGTTCTCCGGTCCCGGTTTTCTTCCAGCTCCTTTGCCGTGGTCCAACGTCAACCGCTCCTGGAACCGCTTCAACACTCTGGAGACGGTTGAATGGTGAATGTTCAACATTTTTCCCAACTGCCGGTGCGACAGGTCAGGAAATTCCAGGTGTTTGGAAAGAATTTGTTCTCTCAACTCGCGTTGGTTCACCTCCATTTTCGTTGAATCGAAAAACACGACTTCGAGTTTGACAGCATGTACACAATACACATCAATGAGAAAGTATGCAAAATTTGGTTGATTTTTACCCAATGGTAAAAAAGTTATGCCCTTTTGAATGTGTCCCAATAATTTCGTGTTCGCCCTTTAGTGGCAACCTACACAGTACATGGCAAAATTTTGATCCAGGACGTGTGGAGATCAGATGTGAAATGGGACGTAGCAACGAAAAACGTTCACGCGGTACATGTTGAGGTGGTGTACTCTTTGTCAACAGCTTCATGTATGATGGCTATTCGTCGGTTTGTGGCACGAAGAGGCGCTCCACAGAAAATTTATAGCGATAATGGCGCCAACTTTCGAGGAGCTGCCCGTGAGTTAGCGAATGAAATCAAGGTCATTAATCATGACATAGCAGTAACGTTTACCAATGCAGAAACTGAGTGGATTTTCAATCCTCCTTCCGCCCCACATATGGGTGGGGTATGGGAGCGGAAAGTACGTTCCATTAGGGAAGCCTTGAAGTCTCTTTGCTACAATAATCGACTAAACGATGAGGAGTTGGTGACCTTCTTAGCGGAAGCAGAAGCAGAAGCATAGAAGCGATTACTCCGAACAACTTTCTCCTCATGAGCTCAAGTGACGCGAATACCCCAGCAAGAATTCCTTTCGATGAAGAGGTTTCTTTAAGAACAGACTGGATATTGATGGAGAATCTACTAAATCAATTTTGGAAACGGTGGATTCAGGCGTATCTACCCACAATAGTCAGGAGGACCAAGTGGTTCAACGACGTTCGTCCACTACAGGATGGAGATCCAGTTGTCATTGTGGACGAAGCGGTTCGCAACGGATGGTTGCGAGGTCGGTTCGTTAAGACATACCCGGGAACGGACGGTCAGGTGAGAAAGGTCGATGTTCAAACTTCGTCGGGAGTTCTACAAAGGACAGCGATCAAAGTAGCCCTTCTGGACGTCCTAGATAGCAGTAAGGCCATTCAAGGGTAAGGCATTACGGGTCGGGGTGTTACAGAATTTGGACGATAGACCCTTTTGATCGCTTCAGCATCAACTCAGCTTGGACGAATGTCGACTCGCAACGTCGAATATTTACGATAGCGAACCGATGTAAACAGAAGAACGCGTGCAATTACAGATAAAATATTGCTATGGAAGCACCAATATAATTAGTTTAAACTTAGTGAAAATCGTACGCGAACGTGAGTACTTAACTGCAGCTATTAAAATACTTCATAAAGAATTTGACCCATCTCATCATTAGATAACCTAACCTCAAAACTAAATAATTGGCTTGGAATTCTCACGAACCGAATTGTCACTGTTAGAAAACTAATTTGTAAGTCTAATTTCATAATTGCTATGCGTGAATGTAAAACTAAAGCTAAATACAATTACAGTCGAGTTGCGGAAAACCGAACTACGGAAAAGTTTTGTAACACCAAGGGAATTAAAGAAATATTCCAAGCGTAAATTTCCAAAGGATAACTTTTCAAGAGAATTATGAAGATCGATTTGAGCGCATTATCACGAGAATTATTGAGAATATGTACTAAGAGAATTGTAGCACAAATTATAAGAATCCTGATGAATGTGGGCGTCTTAGTGGAATACCTGTATAATGAGAGAGAGAGAAGGATTAGTATTTTCCATTTAATTCCACTACTTTATTTGCTTATCCTTGACAGATACGCGTATTTCGTCTACAATGTGCAGACTTCTTCAGTGTCTTGTACTAATACTCGACTGTCGAGTATTAGTACAAGACACTGAAGAAGTCTGCACATTGTAGACGAAATACGCGTATCTGTCAAGGATAAACAAATAAAGTAGTGGAATTAAATGGAAAATACTAATCCTTCTCTCTCAAATTATAAGAGTTTCCTGGATGGGATTTCTAAAGTGGTATGCAAAGAATTACTTCAAGGGAATGAGAGAATCATAATATTATACAGGAAAATTCTGAAAGCAACTTTGAAGACATCTTGGAATCAGTGGCGTCGCGTAACCTCACTTTTTACCTGTTCAACAACTTTGAAAACGTTATTTAGGGGTATGCTTACATTCAAATCAGTTTCAAAAGGCACAGGATCTTCTAGTTTCACTTATTTGTATCCATTGGAATCAATATTGTTTTATTTGTTTACGTTTTGTGAGTTGTTGAACAGGTAGATTGAGGTTAGGGCGACGCCACTGCTTGGAATGATTCTAAGGAAATTCTAGAAATCTAGGAAATTATCTACTCAATTCAGGAATCGAAAATATTTGAAGATCCCGGGTACAGAAATTTTCAGGATTTGGTAAAACTTTTAAAACTCTGCGACACTGAACAGTTTTAAAATCAGATTCTGATCTAGGATTATTTTTTTAAAGGGCAACCTTTCTCAGGACTTTGGAAATGTGTGAGACTCCGAAGTGACTTAGAATTTTTTGTATGATTTTAAATCCTAGTCTAAGAAAAAATAAAAGATGTTAAGTGCTTGCCCTCTGAAAAACAAATCTAGACTAACATTTGAAAGGGGCGGAAGAGGAAAAATGTACTTTTCCTTTATTTAACGTCGGTCTCTGTTCCGCAATCTAGTGCCAATCACCGACGGATATCGATTGCCATCGATTGACGGCAACGAATGTGCAGGAAGGCAGCTTCCACACCTGCGTAGGATATCGCACCCATTCACAACATACATGGACCGGGACCAACGGCTTTACTTCCCTTCCGAAGGAAGACGTGACCAGAGATTTTTATGCCTCAGAAAAATCCCACCGACCTCGGCTGGGATTGAACCCAGACCCATTGGGGTGTTAGAAAGCAGTCACGCTTACCACTACACCACCGGCGCCGGCCAGAGCCAAAATGTAAACAAACCATATTGTGCCACATTTAGAGAGAAAAGTTCAAAAACTACTCGATAAACACGAAAAATTAGAAGAAAATATCATTTCAAATCATCAAAAACGTTTCCTTTCACATGGCGTATTTCCAATTTTCAACTCTATAATACATTAAATTATTTGGTTGCTATGCCTTGCACCAAAACTACGAATTATATTGTTTTAATATGCAAAACGTACTGATTCTGTACTAACTAGTAACGCCCGATTCATTTGAAATGAATCCGATTGATATTTCACGTGTAAACAACGAACAAAAAAAAAATCTCCGGGCGTAATTCCACTCTCACAAAATTTTCGAACGAAGAACCAAGGCGGAACAACAAACAAAAAATCCCGGGGGTGTATTTCCACGGCGTATCACCAGTGTTGGCAGTTCAAAGGGTGGAAGATTAGGGGGGGTAACAACATGCAAGAAATTATCAGGGCGTATGATGTTTTCTTCTCAATTTCACGGCAAAAAAAACTTTTTTTAGTTTTTAGTGATGCATAATGATAGATTACACTATTAACTATATGTCAAGCTGATAAAATCATCCAGAAATTGGAAAGTCGTGAAATAGGGCCTGTTCATAAACTACGTAGACAGTTTTTTGGGATTATTGACCCTCCCCCTGCGTAGACAATTGTCCATACAAAAAAATTAAAATTTGTATGGGCCGTGAATAATTGTCAACCCCCCCCCCCCCCTAAACTGTCTACGTAGTTTATGGACAACCCCATAGGATTAATTTTTAGGTCTTTAAAATTCGGAAGCGATTTTTTCGATATGGTGATTTTGGAAATCCACCCTTTTCAAATGTTAGTCTAGAAATGTAAGAGGAAAAACAACTCATGGAAATAACGCTTGGTACATTCTATTAATGAGGTTGTCGAAGCTCTCCCCATGAGCATCCATCAAGTTGAAGAAAGATGTAAAAAACAACTGGTGAATGCCACTTTCGGTGGTGATTATCATTGATCTGGTCATTCCCGAGAATCACGACATTCAGCTTCGCTAGCTTAATCGAGTGTGTTGATGTGTGAGCCCCCCGGCTTCCGTCTAATTCCGCTAGCTTTTTTGTAAATCACACAGCGGAATGCGTAGGCATTGTTTTAAATTTATTTGTCGTTTCGCTTTTTCTCATCATGGTACTGTTCACTCTTTTTGCTGTGCTTTTCACCATCAACAGCGAGGATTACGTTTTGCCTGCGAGCAGAGATTATCAATGGTGACATTCACTTGTCATGGCTCTACTTTTCACTGCGTGACAAAACGTTCTGGTAGCGATAGTTAGTTGATGCGTTGTATATCATGTGATGAATTAGCCCTCGGCTAAAAATCACTTTAATAATGTTTATAAAAAATTAATGCGATGAAGATTCACTCGTAAGTGTCATGATATTTTACACCACTGGTTTCTACTCCAGATTTTTTTTAGGAGGAGGTGTGTCTTGAAAAAAGTCATAGCTTTGTTTTATTGAAATTGAGTTTTACAGCACCAATAGAAAAACAAGTATTCAACTTCATTAACTGTCTAAAAAGCATTAAAAAATATATACTATTACAAACAAAAAAACGCCTTCCCCTTTTTTGGAAGTCAAAGTTACTCACGCAAACATTGTTTCCAACGTCGATGACCGCCTTGACTTGCTGGTGCTGCGGTACCAGCGTCGGGTGCAACTGAATCGATGTGGTGTACGTTGTGTTGTCATCCTTGTGGGACACGGTCTGCGGTGCCAGGCCCTGGATGTTGAGACAGTGTGCCGCCTGCAGGAGTGACGGTAGCTGCGAGTGGTCAACACTCACCTCGCCACGGTAGACGAACTCGAGCAGGGCCTCCAGATCGTTGGCATTGACGCCGGCCAACATGACGACTGGATGCTTGCATGGTGTGTTCTATTTCGCCAATCCGTCCGATAGTTTCGTTCCATCCAGCCGACGATGTGAGGAGTGAAAGAGAAAGAGAGAAAACAGAGAAAAGAAAAACCAAAACACATCATTATCGATTTCACAAAACAGCCACCCCCGCTCGCAGCTCATTCATTCGCAATCCATCCACACCACATGCCAAAAGAGACCTCGTTGAATTGAGAATCTCATTCCAGCACTATAAAACAGCAGCAGCACAAACCACGTACAATAAGCAGTAACATCATCATCATCATCAGCAGCAGCAGTACAAAATCAAAATATACAGAGCGCAGCAAAAGAAAAGTCAACCTCTTCTTACGCTCACTTATCTTGCTCTGCAAACAATTCTCCCCGGCTCTCCACGCTGCTTGATCTCACTCGACCCTCTTCTACAATATTATTATTATTATTGGCATCGCACGAGTTCGTCTCTTTTCTCTGGCTGCTGTGCTGCCTGCCTGACTGATATGCGGTTCAAAACAACGGTGCATCATCCCAACCCAATCAAAACCATCTATCCCAATCCAGCCTCAGAGCCATGCAATGCAACCATGCCTGCCAGATCCAGAGCGAGCGAACGAGCGAGCGGAGCCGGAGCCGGAGCATCGAGAAGGAGCACAAGCAAGCAACAACTATCGGAGCCGCGCACTCTCCCAGAAAAGCGATAAAATAAAGTAGACCATTGGTGAACGGAGTGATGTTGCCAGCCAGCAGCCAGCCATTCACCGCCAGTCAGTCAACCAGTCGTGTGCGAAGCTTATTTCAGTTTCTTCTATACAGTTGTCGTTCGTCGAAAACTTTGCGCTGCTACCCTCTTCTACTACTACTGCTGCTGCTGGTTACGACGATTGCTAGCTACGAAAGTAACAAGCAAGCATATACAAACATACCTAAGTCATATTCAACCTATTCGTGTCGTATCTATGGTGAGGACCTGTGGGTATGAACTATCAACTAGCGCAGAGTGAAAGTGTTGGGAATATCCGGTTGGATAATTCAATGAAGGTAAAAACGTCCCAGTTGCCGAGTTCAATTTAATCCGTGATAATTCGAAGGTCCTGTGTTGCTGATTGGCCGATTAGAGGTCGAACAATTGAACTGATTGACTTTGAAAAATTGCCCCACTCATATAGCTGGGTGCGATATCGATACCTTTTTAGCTGTCACTTTTAACTATGGCAATTCCCCACTGACCATTTTAGCTGCAGAACGGCTTATATAGGTATATATGCAAAAATATTCATATGTAACAAATCTCGATGAACATTTCAAATGGTCCTATCTGCTTTGATCGATTCTCTTCATCGACTTTCTCTTTCGTTAATAACTCAGCTGCAAAACCTTTCCCTGTTGTATTTGACGTTTTGGACGCTAGATAAGAACCTCCTTTATCAAACTATGTGGTAGAATTAGCGCGAAATCTGTTTGCATATCAGTGGTTATGAAAAGAGAAAGTCGATGAAGAGAATCGATCAAAGCAGATAGGACCATTTGAAATGTTCATCGAGAAATGTTTATCTCAGTGGCGTCACCCTAACCTCAATCTACCTGTTCAACAACTCTCAAAACGTAAACAAACAAAACAATATTGGTTCCAATGGATACAAATCAGTGAAACTAGAAGACCCTATGCCTTTTGAAACTGATTTGAATGTAAACATGACCCTAAATAACGTTTTCAAAGTTGTTGAACAGGTAAAAAGTGAGGTTACGCGCCGCCACTGGTTTATCTGTATAAGCTGTTCTGCAGCTAATCCCCGTTATTCTGCGAGTCACGTGACTCTCTGTCACCGGTGAGGTGACAATCGTCATCTCGTGTGAGGTGACTCTCCATGTAAATCAGGAATGGTTGTGAGACAAAAGGTTGAAACCCCAATATACTGAGTAAAGCAAGTTTTTTCAACTGAAATGCTCAAAAGCCATTTATCGCAGTTGAATTCTTCTTTATATAATAAGCAATTCTTGAACAGACAAAACCAATCCAAACCAATAATCCATCTGAAAATTCTCTCATAAAAGTAATTTCTACAACTCGGAGTTGACTCCTGCGCAATTCTTTGACAGACAAAAGTTTTTGAACAATCCAACTGAAAATGCTAAAATCGAGCAATGACGAGGAACTGCATCCCAAACCCCATGATAAACAAGGAGCGGATGCATCCAATGAAACTTTTAAGCGCAAAATAATCATTACCAAAATTCGGTAAGATCCTTCTATTGCATTATTTTATGATTCTTCAATATTGTACAAATATTTACACATTACACACAACTACGTACGGTACTGGTACGGTATGTCCACGCATCCTTCCACCCCTGTAGATTCAAGAAATGTTCCCATTCATTTCCAAGAATCATCTTTGCGGCAAATACAACGCAGTAGGCCTGGCCGTATTGATGTTTATATCATATCTCAGATATGCTGTAAACATCAATTAGACAAGAACAATGATTAGACCTCATCTAACCTAATCATTTTCCATGATGCTTTCTCGTACTGGCTGCGTTTGTATTATATTAGATTAGATTAGATTAGAATCCAACTGAAAATGCTAAAAAGTAATTTCTCACTCTTTAAGTTGACAGGCGCAAAAAGTTTTGAATAATATCAGACTGATATTTTACTCAAATCATTTCTCCTTCATGGAGTTGACTCCTTCTTTAAGCCTTTCGGGACGACTTTTTTCTTTACATTCTGTATAATCTGTTCTAAGTACTTCAAATCGTCCCGGAGATTTGATCATTCGATCTATTGGATAAACCAAGTATGGAACAATATCCCCAGCTTCAAAACATGTCCTAAGGACTCAGTGGCGTCGCATAACTTCACTTTTTACCTGTGCACCAACTTTCAAAAACAGATTTAATACCATATTCATATTCGAATCGGTTGAAAAACACACTTAATCTTCTAGTTAACTCGATTTCTATCCATTGCAAGCAATATTGTGATAATTGTTTATGTTTTGAGAGTTGGTGCACAGGTAGATTGAGGTTAAGGCGACGCCACTGTAAGGACTGTTCATTAAAGAAAGTGGACACCTGTTTATCAATGGTTCAGGGTTAAAACGTAACGAAAAATTGTGAATTTTCGCTCAGTGTGTTTATAGTATTTTGGCAACACACCTGAACAATAAAAAATAAAGTGAGAAATTTCGAACCATGGGTCGGATCAGCTTATCAACTCTCAGATTAATTCTGCACAAATGGTTTTCCGAAAAGTTGTCGTTTCGAGAATTGGCAAAAAGCGTGAAGTGCAGTAAATCTACATTGTTCAAGATTGTCAAGAAGTTTGGAGAAACGTGTTCTCTTGAAGATTTACCGAAATCTGGGCGTAAAAGGGGGCATCGGAAAGAAGCTGGCAGCAGTACGCCTTTTGAAATCGCATAAACCGTGTTCCGTTCGTGAAATACATCATAAAACGGCTTCTACCCATCTACCGAAAGCATACGGATCCTCCATTGTTTTGGCCGGATCCGGATCTACGTTGGAGATGCTCAAGAAGAAAAAAGTCGATTTGTTGAAAAATGTCAAAATCTCCCAAACTGCCCGGAACTGCGTCCTATCGAAAGATACTGGGCAATAATTAAACGACATCTTAAGAAAGATGGAAGAGAAGCAAGCTCTGTTGACTGCTTCAAGAAAATATGGTCTGCAGCACAACGAAAAATTAAGAAAGTTGTGCAGAATCTAATGGGCTTTATCAAGAGAAAAATCCGAACGTTCTTCAGAAATGAGAAGTAAATATTCAAACTCACGTGAAATCGGTCATATGTATGTTATTTTTTTATATCAATAGCATCGAAACATATTCAAACAGATTCATAGAGGCGGTGGGTTGTATTCTCAATTAGTAACTGTGCAAGTGCATCTATAACACTAAGTTGAAAACCAGAAAAAGCTCGTTAAAAGAGCGTCAAGGCAGGTAAAAAAAGATACGTATCATTTGTGAATGTCTTAAGTTCTCCAAATCGCTTTGAAGGTATGGTTTATAATTGCGTAGATTTATGGCAAAGCCTACGTTCTAACGAGAGAGACAGAAGGATTAGTAATTTCCATTTACTCCCACTACCTTATTTGCTTATCCTTGACAGACACGCTTATTTCATCTACAATGTGCAGACTTCTTCAGTGTCTTGTAATATCGGTCAACTTTATATGGCATATATCGCGAATTGGTAATTACAAAATTATTTTTTTTCTACTGTTAAACGACTTTAAATCAAATTGTTGTTTGTGTTCCATTATATTAATTATATTTTAATCGTTAAACTATAACGGAAATAATAAATTATTCAATGTTATTCGGCTGTTCGATGGGCAACTCGAAATTTGCCTTTATCGAATGTATGGAATTTATGTGTAAATCAATTATTTTTCTCATAATTTTGAGTATAACAAAAGTTAAGATTACTGTTTTGTATGTCTTAAAGGGTGATACGGTCAAAATTTGGTCAATATCAACTTGACGTATTTCTTTCAATTTTGCATTTAAAAAACCTGAACACCCCTCATTTTGAAGGTGTGTGTGTGTAGAATGTTGCTCTTATTTTGATTTTGGAATTCACTCTTCAGTTGTCAAAATGCCGTCCAAGCAAGAAGAGCAGCGTATCAAAATTTTGCTCGCGCATCGCGAAAATCCGAGCTACTCGCACGCAAAGTTGGCAAAATCGCTAAAAGTTGCCAAATCAACCGTTACAAATGTAATTAAAGTGTTTGGGGAACGTTTGTCGACAGCCAGGAAGTCTGGATCGGAGGGAAATCGAAAACCGGAAGCCGCTGAGACGACAAAGAGAGTTGCCGGTAGTTTCAAGCGAAACCCTAACCTCTCTCTCCGAGATGCCGCAAATAAGCTGGGTGTATCGTATACAACTGTGCATCGAGCCAAAAAACGAGCCGGACTATCGACTTACAAGAAGGTAGTGACTCCAAATCGCGATGATAAACAAAATACGACGGCCAAAGCGCGATCCCGGAGGCTGTACACGACGATGCTGACGAAGTTTGACTGCGTGGTAATGGACGACGAAACCTACGTCAAAGCCGACTACAAGCAGCTTCCGGGACAGAAGTTTTATACGGCAAAAGGAAGGGGAAAGGTAGCAGATGTTTTCAAGCACATGAAACTGTCAAAGTTCGCAAAAAAATATCTGGTTTGGCAAGCCATCTGTACCTGTGGCTTGAAAAGCAGCATTTTCATAGCTTCCGGGACTGTCAACCAAGAAATTTACGTGAAAGAGTGTTTGAATAAACGTCTGCTGCCTTTCCTGAAGAAACACGGTTGTTCCGTACTGTTTTGGCCGGATTTGGCATCTTGCCATTACGGTAAAAAGGCCATGGAGTGGTACGCCGCCAACAACGAGCAGGTGGTTCCCAAGGACAAGAACCCTCCCAACACGCCAGAGCTCCGCCCAATTGAGAAATACTGGGCTATTGTCAAGCGGAACCTAAAGAAGACCAAAAAAACTGCTAAGGGCGAGCAGCAGTTCAAGGCAAACTGGCTTTCTGCGGCGAAGAAGGTGGACAAGGTGGCTGTACAAAATCTGATGGCAGGGGTCAAGCGTAAGGCCCGGCAATTCGGATTTGGAAAAGCGGAAGCCTAACTGAATATTTTTCCTGAATTTTATACTAATTGAACTTGAAAAAGAAATTTAATTTGATTTTTTAAATAAACGATTTCACCGATTTACACGCGTTTTCCCTTGACCAAATTTTGACCGTATCACCCTTTAGTTAGTGATTTTTTCTCGCTTTTCAGCCTTGGGTATGAACATTACCCTCACTTGTTTTAAAGTACTGTATCCAAAAATTAAACTTGCTCTGAACTATTTAATCTGGAGAGAGAGAGGTATAAGAAGTCCTTTACAATTCTAAATCTATTGATTGAACCGGGAAAGTGAGTTTTAATCATAACAATAATTAGTTTTTCACGTGAGTTAGCAGTTTAACTGCAATGCTCCTTGTTTAGCCTTCCTATTGGTATGTTCTTTATGGATAAAGCCTTACGTAGTATAGTCACAACATGAGTACCCTCAATGATCTCACAGCACGACTGTAATTCTGGAATGTATGGGAGATTTTTCAGACCTAGATTTGACTTGTTATAGTATCTTTTTAGCTCATTCGTGGCTTGTTCAGAGTGAGTTTTGAACTTGTAAAGTTCAGCATGAGAGTGGTCGACTCTCAGCGGCTAGTTAAAATCCAATAACTCTTATCGAGTTATTGATTATTTGTCAGATTTTGTAAAACACATATCTATTACTTTTAGTCGGTAGTGTACTGACAACCCCATACAAGTCGACGACGACAACGCACTCATACAACACACCGCGAACCATCAGTCACTCTTTACTCGGTCGAAAACTTAGTAGATACTGCCGCTTGCTCATTCCTATCTACGTACCTTTCTGGGTCCGCCTGACGACGACCCCAAAGGTATAGCAGTACTTTGCTGAGGCGGGGGACGGTGCTCGGTTTATATTACTATACAGCTTTTAGGTGGGAAATAAATTTGGACTTACCTTTAGCAGATCCAGCAGAAACGGACTGGCGGCACAGAGCACTATCTTGTGTGCCGGAAAGCTTCGGCCACCGGCAGCCAGCGTTACGTCGACCAGATCTCCGTGGCATCGGAGCAGCTGGACGGCGGACACTAGCGATGTCCCATAGTCTCCCCACGTTAATGAGTACAGTGAGTTTATCGGAAGCGACATTTTCGTTGCTCTTTTCTACAACCGCACTTCTTTTTCTCGTTTGCTTATTTCTCGTCTTTTTCTTATTTGAACTGCTGCTGGTCGTATAGTACCGCTGCTGCTGCTATTATTATTCCACACACAGCACTGCTGCTGCTCCGCGCTCTGCCCGTATACACGCTTTCGGTGTATTTTCACTTCACTTGAAATATTCTCTGCGCCTTTTTCTCTGGTTTTGACGTAGAACTACGTCTTTGTCGACTATACTGGGGTGCAAGTCAAAAAATATGTGTGGTGAAGGAGTGTTAGGTTTTGAACGCTTGTAACTTTGTCATTTATAGATGAAATTAAAATCCAAATACGCCAATCGATAGGATATTACATTACGAACCTGTTGAAATAAATATTTTTCCAATTTTTCTGTAATTAAACTTTTGAAAATGTACAAATGATAATGTTATCACTGTTTTCATGAAATAAGCCTTTTTCGCAAACCCAGTCATCATAAACGAATACCACTTGGTTGCACATCATTCTGCTTGAATCTGAAAAGATATAAATCAGCGCTGGTCTCATGCCACTGCTCATTAACGCTTCGGACGGCGTGGCGCTTGGTCCTGCAGTAAGCAGGACCAAATCAGCAGCTTAAGGTGGATCACGGCGTGACCACAATGAGGAAAAGCACACACGCCCTTCACAACAATCTCTCGGCCCCCCCCTCAACAACCTCTCCTACCCTCCCCCACCATCAAACCTCTCCTACCCCCCCCCCCCCACCATGAAACCTCTCCTACCCCTCTCCCCACCATCAAACCCCTCCTACCCCCCCTCAAATACCTCTCCTAAACCCCCCCCCCTCAAATACCTCTCCTAACCCCCCCCCCTCAAATACCTCTCCTACCCCCCCCCCTCAAATACCTCTCCTACCCCCCCCCTCAAATACCTCTCCTAAACCCCCCCCCCCCCCCTCAAATACCTCTCCTACCCACCCCCCCTCAAATACCACTTCTAAAACCCCCCTCATCAATAACCCGAAAACGAGACAGACTTTAATGATCCCTTTTTTCCGGGAAATAAATTTTAAACATACCACAATCATTAGTAAAACCAAGTTTTACCAAATTTGAACAAAAAATTGCATTGAAGACATGTTTGATGACATTCAGTTGGTGAATTACACACAACTGACGGTAAAACATATCTGGTGCCTCTATATATGCAATTATATTAACATCCAAAGTCCATCCTATTTTACATATTCTGCACAAAAGAAACTTTCTGCTCCGCCCCATTCATAAAAAACTGCGGGAAATCCTATCAGGTTCTGAACCTGAAAAGATATAAAACAGCGCTGCTGTCATGCTTTTGCTCATTGTCGCTTCGGACGGCGTGGCGCTTGGTCCTGCAGTAAGCAGGACCAAATCAGCGACTTAAGGTGGATCACGGCGTGACCACAATAATGATGAAACCCCCTCCCCCTTTCACAACAACCTCTCCCCCTCCCCCTTCACAACAATCTCTCCCTCTCCCCCCTTCACAACAATCTCTTCCCCTCCCCCCTTCACAACAATCTCTCCCCTCCCTCAACGACCTCTCCTAACCCCCCACCACCACTCATCAACAACCTTTCCTAACCCCTCCCCCACTCATCAACAACCTTTCCTAACCAACCCCCTCCCCACCCCTCAACAACCTTTCCTAACCCCCCCCCCCACCCCTCAAATACCGCTCCTAACAAAACAATATCTATGTGTCAGCCACATAGGGGAAATGACGCCTTCGGCTTGCAAGACTATTTTCGGCAACCCAAATTCAAACACTATTTTCACTGGATTTTCTTACGAAAACACTTCGCTGAATGCATGCAAACGATTCTTTATGCTTTCAGCTTCAATTTGACTATATTTTTACCACTGGGAAAAAGCAATCTAGCAAGGTTTTCTTGAAATGAAACACACACACTACAAATTGTAGCTGATTTCGAGTTGCCGATAATAGAACAGCAGATTTACATGCAGTTCAAATGGAACGGTTGCCGACAATACTCGCTCTCACTAGAGAAGATTGGAGCTTTTTAAAAGCGTTTCAAAACAGTTTTTGACAATTCTTTCGACTGAAATTGTTAGAGCAGCTGGCAGCAAAAGATTGTAAACAAACCAATACTGCATATGTGTGCGTTCCTCAGAGAAAAAGGCTATAGAAAGAAGGTCGCTGCTTAGGTTGCCGAGAATACGTAAATTCCCCTACTTAAAATATGTACATTTAAAAACCATGCGTGACCACTAGACTGATGCAAAATTTGAAATTTTCGCTCCACAGTGCTCAAATGGTTCCAAATTGGGCCCTGATAAGCCTCCCAAAATTTGAACTCATTTAGTGAGAAACTGACTTGGCACAAACCATTTGAAGTTTATATGGGAATTACTATGGAGAAACCATAATTTCAGTTTATATCTATCTCAAAATTCACCAGTTCACTCTACTTTAGAAAATGATAGCTGAACTTGTTGAAAACCACTTTTCGATCAAACGTAAGGAACAAAAATTATTAATGATTCAAGTCCCTGATGTCTTATGATTATGCTCAATCAACTGTTCAGCAGGCAACATTGGTGTTTATGGCGCGTAGAATAGAGGACAAAAATCATGGCTACTATGTCACACTGCAGAATACAGTGTTGCCCACAATACAGTTGCTTAATCTTGCCATAAGATTATCAATCTCTTAAAAAATTAATAACTATTTAATTTGACGTTTGGATGAAAAATGATCTTCTGCAAAGTTGTAGCTGATAAAAATTCCCATAAGAATAGCAATAAAATGTGTTAACAGTACAATGTGTAAAAAGGCAAGAAGACAATGAACAAAAAGTTTTGTTTTCCCATAGTAATTTCCATGTAAACTTCAAATGGTTTGTGCCAAGTCAGTTTCTTATAAAATGAGTTTTCTCTTTTGGAGGCTAATCAGGACCCGATTTGGCACCGTTTGAGCACTGTGGAGCGAAAATTTCAAATTTTGCATCAGTCTAGTGACCACACATACTATTCATTTGCGTGTAAATTTCATGTGTACTTCTGAGTGGATTCTGTTTATGTGTGGTCAAATGAAAATCATGTGGAATTTCACATGGATATTTGTAAAGAAAATGTGTAAATTGTTTTGAATCAACCATAACCGAAACATTGAAATACTTGAAAATTTTAAGATAAAGTATAATAGTCAAAAATGCATGAAAAACAACAATTTTGTGTGGTTCTACGTCATACTGCGGTCGTGTCTAGGACACAACCCTTTACTTTTTTTACTTGTTTCACTACTAAACTCACTTGCCTCGTCGTTCGCTGCCTTTCGAAACAAAATTTATATTATACGTGCGATCCATCAGTGTTGCCGCGATGGTTGGATGGTAGTTTATATTATTTATTGAATAATGATGATGGCCAGGTTTAGTTTAATAACATGTTGCAATCAAATTTTGGCGAATTTCAAGCTTGTCAAAGCTTTGCTAGATTTTTCTATAAGGAAATTCATGTTTCGTTTAGGTTTGGGCGATCTTTGGAAGATCGATCTTTTTCATCCCGATTTCCGATTTTTTTGATCGATTCTTTGTCCACGAAAAGATCGAAAAAATCGATCTCTTCTCTCGATCTTTTCAATCTTCAAAAAAAAAATAGCTGTTATGTTTTGTAATTGTATTTACATAAAAAACGATTTACTTTCACCCCAGCCTGCGTGATAAACTTAACGAAAATAACGTCAACATCAGCATCGCTGCCTACAATGGCATCACTATTTGATTTTCCGATATTTATTAATAAAGCAACATTTGAAGGTTTTCGCTACCTCCTTCCTGTGCTCATTGCTTACCGTCACGACAACATGTAATTGAATTTCATGGAGTACCAACGTAAACAAGTGCATTAAAATAAAAATCAAAAGATCGATCTACTAAAGATCGATTCTTTGGTACCGATTTAATCAGTGGATCGATTCTCACACTTAATCTAGTTCGGTAAAATCTCCAACAGCCGATTACCTCAGCATTTACTTTTGCTGATATCTCTGCAAAATATCTGTTTGATAGCTGATATCTCAGCAAAATGTTATTTGTTAGCTGAGTCTCGGCAATTGTTTGACTGAATCTCAGCAAAATAAATTGCAGAATTACTCGGCTGTTGGAATATCGGCGAAAAAATTTAAGTAGTGTGTAGTAGCCAAATTTATGATCGATCCGTCAAGATCGATCTTTCTCTTAAGATCGCCCAATCCTAGTTTCGTTCTCAGGTTTGGTTTTTGTGTGCATTGTATAGAACGTATTTTACATTGTTCTGAAGAAATCACCGAGAAAAACACATTGACGTCCACAAAGTCCACAAACAAATAACATTATTTACGTAATAAGCTCACTTAATACACATGAGAAAATCGGTAATCACTCGTAATAATCGAAATTCTCCCTTTCCCGATAGTGCTCTTGGTTTACGTGGGCGTAGTACTTCAGTTGGCGCAGGATGGTCTAATAAGTTTAATTACAAAAGTTGATAGGCCCTTTTCAAATGTATCGCAAGATATCGTTGTTTTTTAATGCAAAATTCAAAGAAAACTGTTGTGAATTTCTTCCAGTGTATACAAACAAATATTGATTATTGCACAATGATTTTGAAGTCTATGTTCGTGCTCTTAATTATAAGCTCCATGAATACGAAGATTTACGAATAAGGACTACGATTGGAAACTCGGAACATGGAACTGCAAATCGCTCGGCTTCCCGAGTTGCGATAGGTTAATCTATGACGAACTTCAACCACGCAACTTCGAAGTCGTAGCACTGCAGGAACTTTGCTGGACGGGACAAAAGGTATGGAAAAGCGGGCATCGAGCGGCTACTTTCTGCCAGAGCTGTGGCACCACCAACGAGCTGGGAACCGGCTTTGTAGTGCTGGGTAAGATGCGCCAACGAGTGATTGGTTGGCAGCCGATCAACGCGAGGATGTGCAAGTTGAGGATTAAGGGCCGTTTCTTCAACTACAGCATCATCAACGTGCACTGCCCACACGAAGAGAGACCCGACGACGAGAAAGAAGCATTCTATGCGCAGCTGGAGCAGGTGTACGACGGCTGTTCGCAACGGGACGTCAAAATCGTCATCGGCGACATGAACGCTCAGGTAGGACGGGAGGCAATGTATAGACCGGCAATCGGGCCAAACAGCCTGCATGCCGTATCGAACGACAACGGCCAACGATGCGTGAACTTTGCAGCCTCCCGGAGTATGGTAGCTCGAAGTACCTTTTTCCCCCGCAAGGATATCCACAAAGCCACCTGGAGATCACCTGACCAACACACAGAAAACCAAATCGATCACGTAGTAATCGACGGGAAATTCTTCTCCGACATTATCAACGTCCGCACGTACCGCAGTGCGAACATAGATTCGGACCACTACCTAGTTGCAGTATGCATGCGCTCAAAACTCTCGACGGTGCATAACACACGTCGAAGTCGAACGCCGCGACCCAACATTGAGCAACTACGGGACGCCGGAGTTGCCCAGGACTACGCGCTGCAGCTGGAAGTTGCACTACCCACGGAAGAGCAGCTTGGCGCAGCTTCTCTTGAAGATGGCTGGAGGGACATCCGTTCAGCCATAGGTAGTACTGCTGCAGCGGCACTAGGTAGTGCAATCCAGGACCGAAGAAATGACTGGTTTGACGGCGAATGCAAGCTGTTAGTAGAGGAGAAGAATGCAACACGGGCGAGAATGCTGCAACACCGCACGAGATTGAATGTGGAGCGATACAGACAAAACTCGGTTTTCCGAAGGAAGAAGCGTCAGCAGAAAGACCGAGATCGCGAGGCGATGGAAAATCTGTACCGCGTAAACGACACACGGAAGTTCTACGAGAAGCTAAATAGTTCGCGAACTATTCTTCGCGAAAGGCTACGTGCCGCAAGCCGATATGTGCAAGGACTCACGGTAACCTTCTCACGAACGAGTGTGAGGTGATTGAGAGGTGGAAGCAGTACTATGACGAGCACCTCAACGGTGAAGCAGCAGAAAACGAAGGTGGCACGGCAACAGACCTTGGAGCACGCGCAGAAGACGACAGGCTACCGGCCCCTGATCTTCAAGAAGTTGAGAAGGAGATCGGTCGGCAAAGCAAGTGGTGTAGATCAACTACCCAGTGAGCTATTAAAATACGGTGATGAAGCACTGGCTAGAGCGCTGCACTGGGTAATTGCCAAGATTTGCGAGGAGGAGATATTACCGGAGGACTGGATGGAAGGTGTCGTATGCCCAATCTACAAAAAGGGCGACAAGTTGGATTGCTGCAACTACCGCGCGATCACACTGCTGAGCGCCGCCTACAAGATACTCTCCCAAATTCTATGCCGCCGTCTGTCACCATATGCAATAGAGTTCGTGGGGCAATACCAGGCGGGATTCATGGGTGCCCGCGCTACCACGGACCAAATTTTCGCGATTCGGCAGGCTCTGCAGAAATGCCGCGAATACAACGTGCCCAACACATCATTTGTTCATCGATTTCAAATCCGCATACGACACAATCGATCGAGATCAGCTATGGCAAATTATGCACGAGTACGGACTTCCGGATAAACTGACGCGATTGGTCAAGGCGACGATGGATCGAGTGATGTGCGTTGTTCGAGTATCGGGGACACTCTCGAGTCCCTTTGAATCTCGAAGGTGGTTACGGCAGGGTGATGGACTTTCGTGTCTGCTGTTCAACATCGCGTTACAAGGTGTGATCAGAAGAGCTGGAATAGACACGAGTGGCACGATATTCAGGAAGTCCATCCAGCTCCTTGGCTTCGTCGATGACATTGACATTATGACACGGAACTTTGAGATGATGGCGGAAACGTACATCAAACTGAAGGCTGAAGCTAGACGGATTGGACTTGCCATCAACGCATCAAAGACAAAATACATGTAAGGAAGAGGTTCTAGGGAAGACAATGTTAGCCTCCCACCCCGAGTTCAGATTGACGGTGACGAAATCGAGGTGGTTGATGAGTTCGTGTATTTGGGCTCACTGGTGACCGCTGAAAATGATACCAGCAGAGAAATTCAAAGACGCATTATGGCAGGGAATCGTGCCTACTTTGGACTCCGGAGGACGCTCCGGTCGAATAAAATTCGCCGCCGCACGAAGATGACTGTCTACAAGACGCTGATTAGACAGGTGGTCCTCTACGGCCACGAGACCTGGACTATGCTCGTGGAGGACCCACGCGCCCTTGGTGTTTTCGAACGGAAGGTGTTGCGTACCATCTACGGTGGAGTGCAGATGGATGACGGAACGTGGAGGAGGCGAATGAACCATGAATTGCACCAGCTGCTGGGAGAACCATCCATCGTCCACATTACAAAAATTGGGCAACTACGGTGGACTGGGCACGTCGTAAGAATGCCGCACGATGACTCAGTGAAAATGGTTCTAGAAAGCGACCCAACAGAAACAAGAAGAAGAGGCGCGCAGCGGACAAGGTGGATCGACCAAGTAGGTGACCTGCGGACCCTTCGCAGACTACGAGGCTGGCGAACTGTGGCCATGGATCGAGTTGAGTGGAGACGACTTCTTCGGACAGCAGAGGACAACAAGGCCTTAGCCTGATTGGTAAGGTAAGTAAGAAAGTTTTGTACAGAGATACAGTTACTATAGTATTATGAACAACATAAATACCCAAAATACTTCAATCTCCCTTATATATAAATTAAATAGCCCTTTCAAAATATTACGCGAGAAATCACTAATTTTCCCTTAATTTATATGAACATCCCTGTCGTTTTCTACGCTTACCTGAAATTCTTTAAATTTGTTTAATGTTCCGGCAAATTTTATGATACATAGGTATTCATACTTTCCTGAGGCATCTTAAGTTTTCGAATCATGGAATTCTCGGAATATCCCAACGATTGTAAGTCGCTGCAAAGTTCCTTAAGTGCAGTGTGAGGTTTAAAAAATGTTGTAATTTAATGTTTTAGTACACAAAATTTGAAAAATATTTACCAAAATGCCTTCGAAATAAGTTTCATTCGATACCCTTCAAATCACCTTCCAAGAATTAAAATTGAACGTAAAATAGCAGAGATATCTCGATTACTTTTTGGAAAAGACGTATCTGCTTTTGTAAACAATTCATTTGATCGTCAATTCGGCATAACTGGTAGCTCCCCACGCATTCTAACACCACTGTTAGGTAGGGGAATATTTTGAATGTTTTTTTTTTTTTGGTGATCCCAAACGTTTGTTCGGGAGTGTATCTGTAAATTTGTTCAAAATTACATTGTAAAACAATCGAAAATCCTCTTAATACTTCGTCAAAGTGGCTGTATCCTAAAAATCTAGTCAAGTCCATGTGTCTTAACATTTTTTTTAAAGAGAGGAAGAAGTATATTGTTTTCCAATTTGGCATCAAAGATCACGGATTTATCCTCAAAGGTGCGGAATCACAAATTAAAGTGTGCTTTGATGATGTCTAGACTAACATTTGAAAAGGGAGGAATTCCAAAATCACCATGTCGAGAAAATCGCTTCTGACTTAAAAATGAATCCTATTTCACGAGTTTCCATTTTCTGGATGGTTTTATTAGCTTGATATATATTTAATAGTGTAATCTATCATCATGCATCACTAAAAACTAAACAAAAAAGTGTTTTAATGACGATAATGAAACAGCAATAATTACTCATTTTTCTCGGCAATGGCTGAACCAATTTTCGTGCAGCTTGTTCCATTTTGTTTTTATTTCCCATTGAACCCTATAACACTGCATGCCGATCGGACATTTGTTTTCGAAGATATTACTTAAGTGCAACTTGTTCCATTTTGTTTGTTTCTATTTTCCATAGAAATCTATTGAATTTCACACACAACCTCAAGGTTGTTAAATTTTGCCCTACCTGTGGTGTTAGTTAACGTCGGTGAAGATATAGCTTATTTCGACAATTTATTTAACGTTTACAGTTATTGTTCAAAAAAGCAGTTACGGGTATTTGAAGTTTGCATTTGAACTAAATTACATCCAGTTTATAAACTATTTATATTAATTCATCCCTTGTCTCCCAGACATGGATACCCCTTGAGAACTGATATTGTGTGTCAAGCATGGACAACACCCAGATGTGCCCCAACCAAAGAAATCACAATATGAAATGAAGCTCTAAAATACTGGTCACCGGAGGGTGGATTAATAAGGGTAACATTTTCAATCGAACTGATTCTAAATAATAAGTAGTAATAATTAGAGTAAGGACTTAGTTGTTTGAAGACGGTGGACGCCTAGAAATCCGGTTAAAAATTGTGTCGATGACCATTCCGTTAAAACAACCTGTACAACATCAAACATTTTCCTAATAGAATATCTTATAATACAAGTAATAATTGATTACTAGTCGAATTCGACGTGTATTCAAGGGTAAAATAAGAAAAAAACATATTGCACGAACCTATAATTTATGAAATTGACATAATCGTTTAGGCCCATTTCATAGATTTAATTTATCAAATATTATGGCTGATGTTTTAACAGGACCTAATGTTGAAAGCCCCATATTTTGATTTACTAAATACTTAATAAAACATTTTAATTTGTAACATTCTGATCAGGGATCAAGGATACTCGAAGATAAGCCATTATATATGTGAGCAAATTTGCAAATACGAAAAATAAACACTATTTTTATTCACAACGTTGGCAGGGAACGGGTTAACGTAAAAACGAAAATAGTAAATAAACAGAGCTCTTGTTTGTTGCGGCTCTTGCAGTGCTTCATGTGCTCTACCATCCAAACACGCAAAACTGGCATCACTGACTGATACGTACGCTCACCTCTCACACCACTACTCTTCTCTTCTGCTTTGTGCCTGTGCTTGCTGTGCTACACTCCTCTCCCACTGTGCACTACTCCACTTCTTCTGCTGCTGCTGGCCCAAAAGCCAGAGCTTCTTGCTCGCACAACGACCAACAACGATGACGACGCTCACGCCTCTCACTCTTGCTCGAATGAAGGAAAAAAAATTGATTTGTAAAATTTCAGCGTTTTCTTCAGCAACAAATTTTCGATTCCTCGGAATTGGACGCACTACGATGTTTCAAAATATTATCCCGCTGGAACGGAGGGTTATCACTACTCCCAAGAGGGATTTCTTCCACTGCTCCGGGGGACTCCGGGAGCGTATAATCCACCAAGTAGAGCTCACTCTTCGCAGCTCTTGCCTGCTCTGACCACGGAGCACTTTTTTCCTGCTTCTTTTTCTACACTGCACACTTTCCCAAGATGTCTCTCCAACAACAACGACGTCAGCCAAAAAAGAGGGCCACAGCCAATCGAGCAAATTCCCGTTCGATTTTTACCCACTGAAACGCGTCGAAAACTGCGCAAAACCACCGAAAAACGACGCACCGCGGTTGGAACTCGCGACTAGAGGTCCTATTGCCACCGAATGTGGCCGCTTCGAGTGGGATTTACGGCGAAAATATCCTCTAGCTGACAGTGTCACGGATTGATTTCCACTTTTTTCTCAGAGGCGCGCACTATCCAACAAACACGACAACACTCCCGAATTTCGATTGGCGTTTTGCTCGCGCGACGACTCTAGCAAGCGACATCGACGACGGATGATGAAAATTTTCTCTTCCAAAACTCTGGCACTTATTTTGTAGAAAACAAGGGATCACAAGAGCCAAGCTCCCACCACCTTCAAAAATGATGATCTTTCGACTCAGCTATGCTCTTGCGCTGAATTTTATGCTCGTGAGCTGTACCACACCGACCGAATCGAAATAAAAAACCAAGAGCGATATTATTTCGAGAAAGCGCTTCCACTTCTTCTTCGAATGATGATGGCCGCACGAAACGAAAGAGTAGGCAGAGCGCTTGCGAGAAAAAATCGATTTCAGTGCGAGAGGGAGAGCACGCTATACTTGGGACACAAAGGGAATGTGTGTGCGTGAGCTAATAGCTGCCTGAGCTGGTTGCCTCTGCGAAGAGAGCCTGCGTGGAAAATATGTTCCCCCGTATGGTCCCATGGGTGTGAGTGAAAGAAAGCATTATCGCAATTGCGGGCTGAGTTGAACGCGGAAGAATGAGAGAAATATACATGTGTGCTTCTTGGGCGACGGCAAGAGTGAAGGGTGATCTTTACGATGAATACGGGTCTAAAGAACGGAAAAGTTTTGGTGGAGTGGAGTGGGATTTAGGTTCGATCGCACACAGAAAAAAAAAGTTGTTGAATATTACATCCAAACTGCTGCAACCAGGGGCCACATTACGCATCTCGAAACGAAAGACTTTTTGTAGGAACGCTTGTATGAAAAAGTTTTTTATTTCGAGATGCGCATGTGGCCCCAGGTCAATCCATCGGTTGTGTAATATAACGTTGTACAATGTACATCGATTTTGTGAACAAAATTACATCCATTGATGTAATATTGTATCTGCTTTTTGCTATTACATCATTATTTCGTATACATCAGCTTGAATTACATTGATCGATATTACATTTTTCTTTGCTGTTACCCTAATAAAAAACTATCATAAACGAACGATAACCCAAACGATTGGACTATTCCACAAATGGTTTGGATTATATCCAGATCATGTCGTCGTGATGGAGAAGCAGAGTCGAAAAATATGAACGGCAAAATGAGCCAGAAACTGTATTCAACTGTCATTGGGAGCCAAGCAGTTTGATGATACTTTTCGTACAACAAGAAAACACAAGGCGGTATTGAAATCTTGCTTAAAGTAATTTATGACAAACTCTATTTTCCAGCAATATTATTCAATGGGACACCGTTCTTTAAATTCATTCATTTAATATACTCAAATCAATGTTGAAAGATATAATTTATCGGTTGTTGTCAAAGTATTTAGAGGCACATTAAAATACAAAAGAGAACTTTCTCACTGCAAATTGAACAATCTCACACAATCACTACACGCTCAAAGCAAAAAAGGCTTTTTTACTACGCCAATTTTGATTTGATTTTCATGACAAAAAAAAACAAATATAGGGGAAATGGCTCTAATGTTGGCCAATGGATCTAAGATTGGGCCTATCGCTAAAAATCTGCTTTTTATCAATTTTATCTAGATGAACGCGTCATTGGGACAGTACTATGTAATAGATATTTTTCGCTATTGAAAATTTAGTCGATTGCTGAATTTATGTATGGGCCTAAATTAGGGGCATTTCACACAAAAAATTATCGTTAATATAATTGAAAAAAACATTGTTAGAATTAAAAGTTATCATTGGTTCTTTTTGGTAGAAAGTACAGAGCTTTCAAAATAAAAAGCTGAAACTTGTCAAATTAAAAGTTTCCCTCATTGTTAATTTTAAAAGTTGCAGCTTTTGAATCAAATTGTAGAACCGTCAAAATAAAAACCAAGGTTTTTAAAATGACATATGAATTGTTTCACTTCAAAAGATGCTGTTTTCATAGTAGTAATATTTATTTTTATCGCAAAATGAAATTATTTTCAAATTAAGAGTTCTTAAGCTTAAAAAGAAAGTATTTAAACTCATATTCCTATCATTTCTAATTATTATGAATATTTATCATATAAATCAATAAATAAAAATCACTATTTTATTCGTATGCCATTCATCGCATCGTCAAATGCCATTTATGATATAAAGGAAGTGACACTTTGGCAAACGGAGCCTTTTCAACAAATTCCCAGCACCACTCCAGGGTAGCGTAATACATGTTCCGTGTGAATCTGGTGCCCTACTAGAGAAATTCAATTTTGAATTGATGATCTAACGAAACGGCATTCTTGCCCGTTGGAGACCTTCCGTTTGAAGTCCAAATTAGGCTTTTCCGGCGGAACAACCACAGCTGATGCAGTGAGCTTACTCCATCAGTTCCGCCGGTTATGGATGATGGGATGGAGGAAACTGTTTCGGGAAAACAGTGATGACCTTCAGTGGGAGTCTATATGAATGTCGAAAAACAATATAAATGTGAGTTAAATTGTTTTCCCAATAAAGAGATCCATTAAACCAACAATAATTTCAACGATTCACAGATTGACTTACTTTTAAAAATATGTTGTCCCAAATTTCTGCAGCAGATGGCTGACCAAATTTCCACTATTGGAAAAGGCGGCAAATCAGAGATTAGTGCTGCCAGTAAAAACGACATCTAAAGATGTATTTTTGACAGTTGTACAACTTTACTTTCAAGAAATGCATTTTTAAATTTATAAGTCTGAAGTGAAAGAAAAACTTTTAAGGTGAAAAGATAAATGTTATATTCAATATTTTCGCAGTTGAAACAACGGATTTTGCGAAACTTTTAATTTGAAAATGCATCATATTTATTGATACAATTTTAGTTTTTTGTGTGTAGGCATCCATTTACATCCCTTTCCCCTATATAATGTATTCCGTATGTGCGATCTGCTTCTCCCTCCCAGGTCAGTCTTATTTATTATCGGTACAGTTGAAAACCGGAATAACCCACGAAAACCCGGGAAATTGGTAATCGTCATTCGCAGGTCACCACGAAAGAAATTAAAATAATTGTAATATTTTTACCATTAACATTTTTATGACATTTCTCATTTTTGAGACAGATCTTAAATTGCAACATATGTGAAAACCAGGGTGAAACCAAGGTTGCAAAGACTCATTTCAGCTAAAATAATGTTTTTCGGAATAATAAAACCAAAAGATGGTATGATGACATGTTTTACTTGTAACTTACAAGAAGAGGTTACAAAGTATGCGTTGGAAACATAAAACCTGTAAATTTTGCTTTCTATGAGACACAATCAGCGATTTGCAGATCGCTGAGTGAGTGAGTGAGTTTGTGAAAAATCGCTGATTGTGACTCTCATGAAGTGAAATAAACAGGTTTAATATGTCAAACACATTCATTGCAACCTCTTCTTGTATCCTACAATTCAAAATTTGATCATGGCATATAATTATTTCATAATTTAGAAAAACATTGTTTTAGCTGAAATGAGTCTTTGCAACCTTGGGTGAAACAGATATAAAACAAATCTACATAGTAACAATATTCGTACAATAATGTACTGCTACTATCACAACCCATAAAACAATAAATGAATAGGAAATCAAGTCATGCTGTTATGGGCAGTCTACACACCTATTTTTCATTGCTGAAAACCAGCAAAATTTTGCTGGATTTTGCCGAGCTGTATAACCAACAATTCTTCTAGCAAAGTAAATTTTGCTGGTTTTCCAGCAAATATTTGTTGACAGAAGGTTGCTGGAAAATCAGCAATTTCTTTGCTGAAAAATATGGGGTTAATTTTGCTGGAATTTCAGCAATTATCACACAAAAAACAAAAATTGTATCAATAAAAACCATACATTTTCAAAATAAAAGTTTCCCGACTTTGATAGTTTTAAGCACGAAAATTCTCAAAATGAAAGTATTTGATTTGTTTTGAAAGTTTATTTTTCATTTTCAACTTGTATTTTTAAAAGTGCATATTTTTAAAATGAAAACTGTTTAACTGTCAAAAACACCTTGTCATAGCAACGTTTTTGGCAGCACTGGACATAGATTTGCCGCTAATTTTAACCTTGACGTCAAAATTTGCAAATCATGTTCTTTGTGTGGAACGAAACTAGAAGCATAAATTAAATTCGTTAGATATTCAAGGCAATATTCTTACTTGCCGGATTGCTGGTTTTGCCGGATATGTAGTTCGCACGCGGTGACATCAACAGTTAAAATTGTAAGTATTTAATTATCAATATTATTGCATCAAGTAAACTTTATTTTATTTCCAGACGATGAAATCTACCGTTGTCATCAATAGGTCCGAATCAATAATCGGCGGAAAAAATCCATCTGGGTTCCGGATTCCATCCAACCTCGTCGGTGATCCAACTTTTGTGATAAAGCAGAACAATGACAACGATTTTATACTTGCTGAGAGCCTATGGATAATATTTGTTATATTTTACAATACGTATATTCTTGTGGATATTAATAAATATATTTGAGGTTATTTTTTTAATTCATAAAAAAATAATTAATAGAAATAATGCTTATAAAAAATTAAAATCAAAATTGATATTGTAATGTTGAAAATGCTTGAATTTAAATTGAAAATACTTATGTTATAGATTCAAAACGGCACATGTTATTTCAACTATACCAAACTTTCATGACAAAAGTTTGATTCAATACAAAAATAATCCACTTTTAATTATAACACTATCATGCTTTTCATTTGACAGAACTACAATTCTTTTTGAAAGTTTCAACTTTTAAAAGTAGCATGCACGCAACTTTTGAATTGACAGTTAGCTGACTTTTGTTTTGAAAGCTAAAGACTTTCTACCAAAAAGAACCAACGAAAACTTTTAATTCTACCAATGGTTTTTTCAGTTGTACTAACGATAATTTTTTGTGTGTAGGCAATTACGAGAAGCTTTTCTCGTTTTAATAAGAAAAACAGTTGTTATTAAAATAACTCTACACAAAACCACAGACAAACAGACATAACACATTGAATATTTCTCGTTGTAAAACATCGTCGCTAAAACATTACCGCCATATGTTGAGTAATCTGTGGTGGGTACTACACTGAACAGATGGCGGTAGTGTGCAAACGTCAAACGCAAGGGAATTGACTATGCGCGCCACAGGTGGCGGTACTACCAACTACGATATTTTTAAATTAAATGCTTGTTCGATGAACAACTTGCGAGAGTTATGTCTGTTTGTCTGTGACAAAACTTTTAATTATCTCCAAGTTCTTCTCCATTCGCACGGAAGCATCTTCTCCATCTTTCTACCGAATTTATCTAAAATAAAAGGCAATATGTTACAAGATAACATTCACGGATACAAATTTTGTTCATTTAAAACAAAAATATAAATGTTTATACTCTAAACATATGAATTATTCAAAGTAAATTGAAAGCATGTTTAAAACTAAAATATTTATGTTTGAATTAAATTTAAAAGCATGTTTATTTCAACAATATAGGATTTGGGTAAACGGTTTTTAGCGTGTCATGCCTTTTTATTTACTTCTTGTAACATTCGGAAAAAGTTGCCCCACCTTTGCTCAACACAACAAAAAACGGCCCGAAAGTAGCAAAACCGAAGATGGATCCGGAAACCAGCTCGACAAAACCGGTGGAACCCCACAGAATCCTCCACACGTGACTTCGAAAGGACAACGAAAATCCGGATCCTCCTCCGACACCGAATGTATAAAGAAACCGATATGAGGACTAGTGGCAGAACAACAAAACGACGCTAATATAACAAATTTTCACCGGTTCCACTGAACTGGAAACCCCCGGATACCCACACCCCGCATCCCGGCCCAGGACCCCAATACCCACAGGTCACCCTTAATCGAAGGGTGAAAGAGCAGGAATTTAGATGCCCTGCCCGAAGATCTTGTTTTTTTCTCTTTGCAATCCGTTTTATCTTGCTTTACCCTGCACTCAACTATTAAAATAATTTCAAAATATGTATGTTTATTTTAAACATAAGAAGCATGTTTAAAATAAAAATATTTATTTTTGTTCGCATAGCTGTCAAACCAAACAAAAACAAAAACATTTGTTTTCAACACGAATATTTTTAAAATAAACATAACATTATTTTTATTTTAAACATTGATTTCACATGACTTCAAACATGGAACACGTTTGAAATCAACCTAATTTATTTTTGTGGCCAGAACAAACTGAGTTTACGTTTGAATTTACCTCAAATATTTTTGTTTCTACGATAGTTTTTTCTGCGTGTTTCCTTCAAAATATTCCCCTGTCTTACCGTTATTATTATTATGCAAAATAGTAGTCTTCTCCAAACAGTTGTAATCCAGTTATAATTTTACCACAATGCTCTTTTTGCATAATTGTATTTGTAAGCGGGGTCATCCAACTAATTAACAAGAGTCAAAGTCTTTTTGACATTTCATGATTTGCTGGTTTCCGGCTAAAACAACTGATTAATGGATTTTCAGTAATGTCGTTTTCGTTTTTGCGGTGTAGCTACACCGGTGCTACACCGCTGAACACTGAAAATTTTTAGGGTGTAGCTATCGGTTGCACCTTTGTTTACAAACAAATGATGATGAACTGTCAATGACTCGTGCTTATTGCTGCTCACACTACACCGGTGTAGTGTAGTAAAAACGAAAACGACATAATTGAAAAGTAAGTTGTTTGCTATTGTTTCAGCTAAAATCGTTTTGCTGGATCATTTTCAGCAAACCATTTTGCTGGAAGATGAAAATAGAATAGGCCTCGTACTATCTACGAATTTGTGCTGTGCATTCTGATTAATACTGATGCTACTGCTTATGAAAAATGCATACAACAGTGAGATCTTATAGCGAATTCGTTTATTATCGGGGTTAACACCAGTTCCAACCCAGTGCGAAACCGAACTTTTTGTCAGTGTGAACCTCAACCTGAGCTAGGTTTTTAAAACAAACGAGCAAACTGACGTTTGTCAGAAAACAAGCAGACCCAATCTTGATACCCGATCCAGGTTGGAACTGAATAATAAACGAATTCGCTATTAATTTTGATAACACGACACTATAGTTTCTAATCTAAAAATATACTATGCTGTCTAACTCAATGTTTCTTATTTCTGTGAATGTCGGTATACCGGGAGTTGCAGGAAACCGACTTAAATGATTGCAAATTATAAACGCTTTGGAATGCAAGAAAAGGCAAAAACTAGGTTTTGCCAAAATCGAGATTGAAACCTTTTTGCGATTCTATATGCATTTTGCTCACTTCCCCAAATCAGCTGATACGCGACATTATTGCACCTTCTCACGTCTCACAAAGCACTGGCATTAGGCAAAGTATAACAGTAAATGACGGTTCAGGGGAATATTTTGCCTCCGTCATCATCGTATTTTTCTCGAGTTTCTCCGTCAGATTCTGTTCACTATGCATTATTAGTTATAGGTACATATATGTATACATTGCCCATTGTGTGTTTGCAGTTGTTCATGATAAAGTAAAATCTGGACGGTCAGTCAGTCGCATTTCGGTTAATAGTCGTTCGTTCGGGTACTGTAGTCTTTAATAGAGAACCTCTTTATCCGAGTGGCTCGAGATCGTCATTCGTCGCACGTCTGCGAAGCTCTCGGTGGGAGTACATAACCTTATCGTTGTTTTCCTGCTCGAAAGTGATTCACAAAAGCGACTCGACTGATTGAATTACATACTCAATAGTGATACATTGAGTAAGTTTGATCAGAACAACAACACTCTAGTCCAGCCATGCAGAACGTGATCAATTCGGTCAAAGGGACCGCTCTTGGAGTCGCCGAGTATTTAACGCCGGTGTTGAAGGTGAGCCATACCGAGGGATGACGAGTCACCGTTGGAATGGTATTGATTTTTGCGTGCATTCGATTTCTTTTACAGGAATCCAAGTTCAGGGAGACAGGAGTGTTAACACCGGAAGAGTTTGTAGCTGCTGGAGACCACCTGACACACCACTGTCCAACTTGGTCTTGGGCGATCGGAGACGAAGCTAAGATAAAGTCCTATCTTCCGAAGGGTATGGGATGAAGTGGAGTGATGCTACAATTGAGCGGTATAATAATGTTATATTAAAATTCCAGACAAGCAATTTCTCATAACTCGTAATGTGCCATGCTATCGACGTTGCAAGCAGATGGAATACGTCGGTGAGGAAACCCTTGTAGAGGAAAATGATCAAGATGGGGGATGGGTTGAGACACACCATTTCAATCCGGATGGATCCGGTGGATCCGGTTTGGAAGATAAGGTCTGCGAGATGACACTGGAGGGAGCCAAAATGGATGATTCTATGAATCTTGAAGGTGGCAACGGTGACGACGACGACGATGACGATGAAGATGGTGCGGCTATCGATATGGACGAGTTCGAGGAGAGTGGTATGTTGGATCATGTTGATCCGGTAAGCACTATCTCGCAATCTTCAATTTTAGTGTGTCGATTCAAACCGTATTTTCTTGTAGTCACTGGCCACCGTTCCGGTGGAGAGCGTCAAGACGAATAAAACGTCGGAAACCGACGGGGATTCGGTAGTTCACACAAGAACCTACGATCTGCATATAACGTACGATAAGTACTACCAGACTCCCCGGCTGTGGGTAGTCGGCTACGACGAGAACCGTAAACCGCTTACAGTTGAACAGATGTACGAGGATGTTAGCCAGGACCATGCCAAAAAGACTGTAACGATGGAAACTCATCCGCATCTGCCGGGACCGAACATGGCTTCCGTTCACCCGTGCAAGTACGTTTCATCCCTGAATTGAATTCGTTTCAAACGCCCATAATACAAATTCTTTCAGGCACGCCGACATTATGAAGAAGATCATCCAAACCGTGGAGGACGGCGGTGGCGAATTGGGAGTGCATATGTATCTGATCATTTTCCTGAAATTCGTTCAAACGGTGATACCAACCATCGAATACGATTTCACGCAGAATTTCAACATAACTAATAATAAGTAAACCAAAAACCACCAAATCACCAGCCACGAAAAAAAAAAACATCCACACAAACTGATATTATAAACTTGCGCTTTGGCAAATATCCAATAAGGCAACCATACACCCGCACTTGTATCCCGCGTTAAGCTTGCGCGAAAACGACAACAGCTATGCCATCATGCGATTGCTTTGTGTAGATGGGCTTGAAATCTTATTAAACAAAAACATAAGTATCACACCAATGTTACGATCCGCATACACCGCCGGAAAGTTGTTGAACGACGAATTACCTTTAACCAGAGCAATGAGGAACACGGAACTGCATGATGTTCCCAAGATTGAGTGCAAGAGCTGATAAATGTTGGTGTAAAAATCACTTCAGAGCTAAATAAAAGGTATTTTAATATTGCAGATTGTGTTGTTTGTTGTTGGTCCGTTCAAGCCCAGAATGAGTTGGATAGTTTGTACTCCGAGATTTCATTTCCATTCTATTTAGCTACTTTTAAGTTGAGTGAGCTGGTTTCCAGATGAATAAACCTCTTTCTTAGCTCAATCAGTAAAGGCGCAAGTACAAAGCAAAGATGAAATGGGGATCCAATCCCAGTTCACGACGGCGTACTCCCCGCAACAAAATGGTGTTGCGGAACGCAAAAATTGAACTCTTCAGGAAATGACCACTTGCATGCTGCTGGACGCTGATCTTCCCAAGAAGTATTGGGGTGATGCAATCATGACAGTGACATACATCCAAAATAGATTGTCCTCGCGTTCTGTGGACACAACACCCTTCGAAAAGTGGTTCGGTGAAAAACCTTCGCTGAAACATCTTCGAGTTTTTGGTAGTGTCGCCTACGTACACATTCCGGATGTGAAACGGGCGAAGCTTGATGGCAACGCCCAGAAGTTAATATTCGTGAATTATTGCGATGACCGAAAAGGTTATAGGTTCCTGGATCCGGTAACCGATAGAATCACTATCAGTCGAAGATTTACATCGATCCGGCCAAGGATTTTTTTTCGGATTTGGAAATTTCTCGTCTTCCTTGAGCACAGAGTAACATGGTGCTTGTCAAAAATGTGCGAATAGTTGATTCATGCGGGTTTTCCAATGAAGTTCGTTATACTTAGTCCCTAAGCTTTGCCCTGGACACTTTCTGGACTTTCCCATGATGTGCTATGCTATCGAAATTGTCCACCGTGTCTTCTGGAACGGTTATAGGCATAGCATATAATTTTATATTAATTTGTTATTTGTTTATTAATTTGCTCATCTTCATCTAACGTAACTGTTTTAAAGAGGGATAGATTGGAGTTTTTGAAATATTCGTCTGGAATTAATAAAATAAAACGCTAAATAGGGGAATCTGCTATTATCAATTTTATCTAGATGAACGCGTATTGGGACGGTACTAATGGATATTTTTGGTCACTATTGAAAAATTAGTCGATTGCTGCATTTATGTGTGGGCCCAAATTAGGGGCATTTAGGCCGACATTACATCCATTTCCCCTACATAAAACATTAAAACAAACCGTCACATCGGTAAAATTATATGCATCCCGAGTATCCATCCAGAAGTACAGCTGCAGAGTTAACCGGGAAAAGAAAGGTCAAAATTCATCAAAATTAATGGACAGAAACTCACCTGATCCAATTAGGATTCTAACAAACGGCACCGGCTCTCGCATGAAGGCATATTGACTAGGTTGTTCCACGGAAGCAATCTGATGGCATACGGTATGCCGCATACCTAGTAAATTTAGTCTGGATAACTTAAATTCTGGTCATCCAGATATTCGTATACGGACTCCTACACTGCCTATAATCGCATATCAATCCCATATGGATATTCGTCAATTTTAAGGCGATTCCTTGTAGAGTCCGCAAATGGCCGCCACGTAGGCTATACATGCACTTCTACTTCGAATTTTAAATTACACAAATCTCGGAAATCAGTGCTTCATTTCATTTGAAATTACTAGGTACTTCATGTATGCTGCAATGCAGCAAACGTGGAGTAACAATTTGAACGTTGCACGTGTCGTTGAACCTGATATTTGTGCACTTAAAGTTTCGAAGTGGTTCCGAGAATAAGGATGTCACAGCGAATCACCTTAATATAATAACGCTATCCACTATAAATTGACATCTACTTTCATATCAAGCGATAAAACTACAGACTTTGATCCTTTGATCATGGAAAATGTGAAACAACATCAACTCAATTTGTCCCATCAAGCAAAGTAATCGCATATCAGTCCCATCCTGAAATTCAATCGTCCAGAAGTCAATTTAAAGTGCTGTTTTTGAATCGCCATATTTTTCGACGATATGTATAACAAATCATGCAGACTTCTTTGCAACTAATTCTAACTTAATAAAAATATCTAGTAAATTTTAAAAATTGTAGGATTTTAAAAATATGTACCTACATAGGAATTGCATGTCGTAACTTCAACTGCCATTTTCTCAATGCCTAATTTTTCATATGGGACTGATATGGGATTATAGGCAGAACAGGAACCTCACTTTATTTTCTATCAGTAGCTTCAATTGAAACCATGTTTCGTCAAGTGAGTGCAGAGTTACTAACAAATGAGCAATTTGTGTGAAAAGTTGAGCATGCCAACCCTGCCCATAGTGGCGCCGGTGGTGTAGTAGTGAGCATGATTGCCTATCACCCCAAAATGTCTGTGCTTAATCCCGGTCGGCGCCGCCGGGATTTTCAGAGGAATAAAATATCTGATCACGCCTTCCTTCGGAATGGAAGTAAAGCCGTTGGTCCCCGGTTCTTGAGTTGATGGATCGATAGATAGGTGGGGTCCAGGTGTGGGAGCTGCTTCCCTGGCGTCGGTAGCATTGGTACTCAGTACGGAAAACAAGATCGACGGAAATCAAACGAAGGAGAACAAACCCTGCCCATGGGACTGTTTCTCAGAATCCCCTTGAAATTCTCTTCAAAATACCGTTGAGAGAATCTTTTGGAATTCTTTTTGGATTATTTTTGAAACCATCCTTAAGGGTACTTAAGGGAACTCTAAAATTCTTCATTTACTCAGAATTATTTGAAAATATGTTCTAAATTCCTTTGGAATGATCCTCTTTGGATTCCTCCCGAACATTCTTTGAAGTTCCCTCAAAATTCTTAAGAAGAGTCAAAGGAAACTATCTACAAAGTAATGTCAAAGTCTGAGGATGGCTCGTTGCTGAATTTTACGATAGTTTGCAGTTCATCTGTTATCATCATTCGCATCTTCATTTGAAATTGTTTTCGATGTGTCCCTGAAGTTTTCCACAGAATTATCTTTCATTAACAGTTATGAGATTATCAGTCGTAGGTTGATTTCAGAAGAAAAAAAATCAGGAAGTATCGAAACAGGCCTTTCTTGACTGAGTGTAACCAGAGGCGTCGCGTGCCTCATTTGTTTACCTGTGCACCAAGCTTTGTTCGTTATAGTATTCCACCACATATTAGTTTTTGTTTTATTTTTCAATGCTCCATGAATTCAAGGAACACATTCTCCATTACTATATATATTACCCAACTAACAATTTTGGTTTTATGAGGGTTCTGTAGACTACGATTTAGGTTTGTAGAATGCTATAAAACCTCTTTAAAACTTGCAATTTTACTTGGGTAATCACTACCTAACGTAACATTTGAAGGGCCTATCATCTTGTATAAACAAAACTTGTATGGCCCTTTTCGGGCTAACCGAAGTAGGAGGAATTTCAAAACTTAACTAATTCCAGCTGAACATTGCATTAGGTTCTAAGTAATATTGAACGACTTTCTATTTCGTTAATAACTTGAGCACATAACCATTTCTTGTTGTGTTTGTCGTATTAGATGCTAGATAAAATCTTCTTTTATCGATCGGTGTGCTGAACATACCTGGGAATGTCTTTATATGGCCGTGGAGATACAAAGAGAAAGTCGACGGAGATAATCTGTCAATGTTACTTAGGACCTAATACAATGTTCAGCTTGAATTCTCGTTTTTATCAGAAGGTTAACTCTTTCGACTGAAGTGTAATAAAGAATATCCGTCAAACAGTTCCGAAAACATTTTTTGATACAAAACAGTGTCAAAATCTAGAGAAAATTCATAGTCATCAATTCATAGTTGAGTTAATCATTAATTCATAGTTGAATTAATCAACTCGCCCTATTCGATTCCTTTTGATATTATACACAAAATGACGCGAGCTTTTTGCAATCTAAAATAATGCGTCGAAAAAAACTGCTTTTGAATTTTTAAAAAATGCATCAAAGTTAATTGAACCATAAGTTTTGATAGGCACACTGGCGCAACTATCGGTAATTGAGAGATTCACAACTGACAAGAGAGTGAGAGCGGCTTTTGCGCTCTCTTTCTCCATTACTCTCTTTGTCTGCAATCAGATATCCAAGTGCACAGCGAGAAATGCACACTTTGGGCACCCATACATCACAAATGTTCTTATAATTTAAACTCACACATTCAAACCGGTCTGCAAGTATGATAACGTCCAAAGCGTAACAGACTGCTGTTTCCGTGTTGCTCCCTTTTGACGCGTGACTGCTGAAAGCTTCAATTACAACCAGTGGTGCAAACCGCCATGTATTGTGGAAAATTTGTGGTATGTTTCAAGAGGTGATAGAAGGTCTGCTTGGCTTACATCAGGCATTTGGTCATTCACAAACTTGCCACTCGCCACCCAAAAGAGCTCGCTTTTAGGTGCACTATTTAACGAGTTTTGTCATTGTAGTGATATCGACATGCTTAGAAATCAATGCATTAGGAATTAGGCAGACCATCCCAACTGAATTTAACCCTTTTTGAAGCAAACCAAGGTCGAAGATTTAATTGAACCACACTATAAAATAGTGTATTCATACGATGATCGATTCTCTTCATCGATTTTCTCTTTGCATTGCTAACAGCTAAGCAAAACAATTTTCTAGAATTTCTTCAATGCAGAGTTGTAACAGGTTGTACTGGCTATCAAAAGCAACAGCAAACGCACCGAGAAACGTTAATTCTAGCGAGTTATTAACAAAAGAGAAAATCTACGGAGAAAATCGATCATCGCGTTTACGCCCTTATGCATGCTCACTGTCGAAATGAATTCATTTTTAGAACTTTTGATGGTGCACGTTTTTTTTCTGAAGCAACTAAGATGATACCTCTTTTTAATTGGGTTCTTTAATTTTGAAAAATATAAAGGGTGATACGGTCAAAATTTGGTCAAGGGAAAACGCGTGTAAATCGGTGAAATCGTTTATTTAAAAAATCAAATTAAATTTCTTTTTCAAGTTCAATTAGTATAAAATTCAGGAAAAATATTCAGTTAGGCTTCCGCTTTTCCAAATCCGAATTGCCGGGCCTTACGCTTGACCCCTGCCATCAGATTTTGTACAGCCACCTTGTCCACCTTCTTCGCCGCAGAAAGCCAGTTTGCCTTGAACTGCTGCTCGCCCTTAGCAGTTTTTTTGGTCTTCTTTAGGTTCCGCTTGACAATAGCCCAGTATTTCTCAATTGGGCGGAGCTCTGGCGTGTTGGGAGGGTTCTTGTCCTTGGGAACCACCTGCACGTTGTTGGCGGCGTACCACTCCATGGCCTTTTTACCGTAATGGCAAGATGCCAAATCCGGCCAAAACAGTACGGAACAACCGTGTTTCTTCAGGAAAGGCAGCAGACGTTTATTCAAACACTCTTTCACGTAAATTTCTTGGTTGACAGTCCCGGAAGCTATGAAAATGCTGCTTTTCAAGCCACAGGTACAGATGGCTTGCCAAACCAGATATTTCTTTGCGAACTTTGACAGTTTCATGTGCTTGAAAACATCTGCTACCTTTCCCCTTCCTTTTGCCGTATAAAACTCCTGTCCCGGATGCTGCTTGTAGTCGGCTTTGACGTAGGTTTCGTCGTCCATTACCACGCAGTCAAACTTCGTCAGCATCGTCGTGTACAGTCTCCGGGATCGCGCTTTGGCCGTCGTATTTTGTTTATCATCGCGATTTGGAGTCACTACCTTCTTGTAAGTCGATAGTCCGGCTCGTTTTTTGGCTCGATGCACGGTTGTAGACGATACACCCAGCTTATTTGCGGCATCTCGGAGAGAGAGGTTAGGGTTTCGCTTGAAACTACCGGCAACTCTCTTTGTCGTCTCAGCGGCTTCCGGTTTTTGATTTCCCCCCGATCCAGACTTCCTGGCTGTCGACAAACGTTCCCCAAACACTTTAATTACATTTGTAACGGTTGATTTGGCAACTTTTAGCGATTTTGCCAACTTTGCGTGCGAGTAGCTCGGATTTTCGCGATGCGCGAGCAAAATTTTGATACGCTGCTCTTCTTGCTTGGACGGCATTTTGACAACTGAAGAGTGAATTCCAAAATCAAAATAGGAGCAACATTTTTAAATGCAAAATTGATAGAAATACGTCAAGTTGATATTGACCAAATTTTGACCGTATCACCCTTTATCTATTTTTATACATGAGGGGTTAGAAGGAAAGGGGTAAAAGTGACTTTGATCGATTCTCTTTATCGACTTTCTCTTTCGTTAATGATTCAGCTGCAAACACATTCCTTGATTCGTGTGCCATTCTGGATGCTAGATAAGAACCTCCTTTACCAAACTATGTGGCAGCAATAGCGCAAAATCTGTTCTATAAAGCTGTGGCTATCAAAAGAGAAAGCCGATGAAGAGAATCGATAAAAGTCACTTACACCCCTTTCCTTCTAACCCCCTTCACATCATCTGAAAGGGCTTCGTTTTTTGAGAACAAAGATATTTTTTCGAACCTATAGACTTTCATCTCGATCAAGATTTAATGCAAAATAATAACTTCACTGTTTGACACTAAACGAACAAATTGACAGCTCGCTCCCATACAAAATGACACCGAGGGGCGCTAAGATTATTGATTTCGGTCAGGGCCATTATGTTATTCAAAACAGTGTCAAAAAGTACCACTTTCCAGTAATGCGTGCTAAAAAAGGTTTTCTGCAAGGCTGGCCTGCTACTGCCCGTACAGGCATTGCTTATCTTCCTGCACCAGAGCAAGAATATTGTTACGACGACATTAAAGACAAACGGCTTTTGTGCTTCATATGATGCACTTCCGAAAACCGATTCAGAACGTGATACACCGGTACTAGAATCCCAATCAACTCGTTTTCCTTGGTTTAATTTCAGTTACCTTGTTTATTGATTTTTTTTTATATATTGTACACAATAAATATATTATGTAAATATATTATCTTTACATAATGATTTATTCTGCTTTTGGGTTGCTTCTGTATTTTTTTTGCTTTTATCTTGTTTTATTTTTGTTGTTTGCTTGTCACTTTATTGAACTCTTACACACATTAATAATGATGGTTTCCAATAGCGTTTTTTTAAATCCTGTTTTTATATAATTACATTTCCGTGTTTTTTTTTTATATTCTTGTTTGCATTTGCTTTAGACATTGTTCTCTTCCATTCCACTGTTTGCGATCGTGCGTTTGTTGACTGTTTGGTTTTTTTTTCGTTTATTGCTATTCACACCGTTTTATTTTTAAGCCGCCTTACAGCAGCAAACCACACGACACAGTTGACCTTATCGGGTTTTTTTTATTCCGGTTTCGGTTGTTAGTAAAATGAGATCCCGTTCGCGTTTGTCTTTGCAATTTTAAGTCTAAACTTCTATTCTCTTCTTTGTTCCTTCTTTGAATTGATATTGTTTTATTGGCCTAATTCGCTACGGCTGCGATACTTGTCGCCAGCTTCGTTTCTATGTTGGCGTTTTACTTTTGCTTTGACGTACTTGTTCTCCGTCCTTGTTTCACAATGAGCAAATGAGAAGTGGATGTTGGTTTGTTTGGTTGTTTGAATGTGTCTCTGTGTGTGTGTATGTTTAATAAAGAAAACAAAACTAGCAATAACTTGTTTGGATTAAACTGCCAGCTTAAATTGATTGTAACCAGAAACAGTAGTATAACTTATTTGTTTGCACAAGTAAAATATCGATATATTGCGCTGTTTTTACTGCTGGCGAAAAACTTGGAATGGAACGTATAAATATTTGTAGCAACGATTATCTAGTATAATGGAAATCTTTCAGTTGAAACGGGCGAGTGATTGCTTTCCGATGAGACTTTCTAACGAATTCGAGACAATTTTGTGGGGACCAAAAGCACTGATTGGGGTTTCATTTTTCGAACATGATTGGTATGGATCATAAACTCAATTTTTAAATTGTAGTTAAACTTGTCTGTTAAGTTGATTTCTTTATGCTTCAAAAACTCATTTTCTGCTCCTGCACATTTTTTGCGCTGCACAAAGCTGGCATATCGATGAATTAAGCACTCTGAAAGGTTCAAGTTGAAAAACAATTTCTTTAGAAACTATAACCTGATCCAATCTTGTTCATATGATATCTTGATGAATCAAATCAGAACGATTCAATTGGGGTAAATTTTCAATTCAATTATTTTTATTGGTAAATTCAACTATTTACTTGGATTTTCTTTCACTGCCAGTCTTAAAACTTTAGTGTAATGTTTTCAGTTTTAACTTGATATTATTAATTAATACAGGAGTGTCTTCATAATTTCCCCTACTTGCATTTTCACACTACTGTTTTGCTGTACATTCGTTCTGGATATCTAAACTGACTTAACATTATAACTTCTTTTTGTTTTTAGCTTCCCCTGAAAACATAATCCTCGTCTTTACTTCATCAGTTCCACTGTAAATTAAGTGCAATAAATAGAGTTAGGCTAACTAAATTTGATGTATTTTGTTAATTTTATCTCACAGTTGTCGTTCGTTTTTCTTTTCATTCTCATTTTCCTGATGCTTTCCCATTATGTAACCGTCGATGCTTAAGAGCAACAAATTTACACTTCACGCAAGTGAAAAAAAAATTACAGCACAATTGTAACTCTTGCTCACTAATAAATAGAGTGCTTTTTGTTTTGTTTTGTTTGTAATTAAGCTATATCAATAAGTTTTGCTAGTATGGGATTAATGTTTTGATAATCAGCATTAATAGGTAATAATAATAAGTGTTTACCTTTTTAGTTCACATACTTTGTATCGCCGATAAAACAGCAAAAATGCACGTAGTAGTTAAAATAACAGAAGAACTTAGGTATATCATATTAATGAATGCTTAACATAGGGGAGGACTTGGGTTTTGCAAAAGCATTTCGCTAATCAGTTTCTCAGCTAGAGTCGAAATATCTTCAATACAATTACAAAGGCATGGGAGGGAGGTGGGGAGGGAGGAAGGATGTTTGGTGGTTGGACAACAATATCTCCAAAGTCTTTTCGCTCGTCCTCTTCTTATTATCATCATCTGCTTCGTCTACTACTTAGGCTACACTATCGTACGGTGGTGGCATACTGTATGCGATCGGTTGCACATTGTTGACCAGGGTCGAGCTTTGCTTGCTGATCGGATTCGAGCCTCCCAGATTCGATCCGGTCGCTCCGTTGGCGCCTCCGGCACGACCCTGTTCAGCGGACGAGGCCGCCGTTGCCGCTGCTGCCGCCCGCATTTCCGCAAATGACGCTCTGTTTTGATTGGGAGGGGTGGGAATTAAAGCTGTCATTAGATGGGATTTTTTTGTATGTGTGTGAGTGTGGAGTATGAAGGATTCTATAGCGTGCTACTAAATAGGCAAAGCATATACTACAAAAGGCTAGAATGAGAAGCTGCGTAAATGTGCTACATTTGATTCGTTGTCACAAGCCGCCAAATATACAGGATAACTCAAGAAAATATAACTTATAGCGAAGACAACAAATCAAGAAGACTGGCAACTTTGCCAGAATCTAAGCGACTGATACAATGGCGCTGCGCTTGAGTGAAGGTGGAAGCAACGCATAGAAAAATGAGCAAATACACAAACCCTTCTTCTGAGGATGTAATCTTTGCTATCAAATTCGTTCGAAGCATTTACCTTTGAGCGACAGATGACGCGATTGTACCTGTCTCATAGCGTTCGTATGAGAAAATGAAAGAGTTGCCAGTCTTCTTGATTTGTTGTCTTCGCTTATAGTCTATTGAATTTACTCGTGGTTTCAGAAAATTTATCAAAAATGTATAGTAAAAAAACTTTGGTATATCATACGAGAAATCGTTAATTTTTTCAAACCAGTTCTTAGCGCGCCAACAGAATAGCCACAGACAAACAGACATAACACATTGAATATTGCTTACTGTAAAACATCGTCGCTAAAACATTACCGCCATCTGTTGGGTACACTGTGGTGGGTAAAACGCTGAACAGATGGCGGTAGCGTGTAAACGTCAAACGCAAGGGAATTTACTATGCACGCCACAGGTGGCGGTACTGCCAACTACGATACTTTTAAATTGCCCGTTAAATTCTTGTTCGATGAAAAACTTGCGAGTGTTATGTCTGTTTGTCTGTGGAATAGCCTTATATAATCGTCTTAAGCGGAAGCTTATGACCCTAAAAAAAGTAACGTTTCAGATTTGTCTAGAAATATTGGAAAACGACCGTAGATTTGACGTAGGATTACGTGCTTGGTACCAATATTCGGCGACTGTGTTAGGGAAACGCCTCGTTTTCTGATGGCAAAATTACGTATTTTCGTGCACAAAACGCACGCAATTTTTGGTTTATTCAATAGATAATAAAAAAGTTAAATTAAATTGGAGGAATTTCTTGCTAACATTTACCAATCGCGAGATATTCGCAATCAATCATATACATTCGAGATTTTTTGCTTTTTTCTAGCGTCCTGGAGAAAACCCTACCTTAATTCGAAGCAGTGCTGCAAAATCTCGACAATACACCGATGATATTGCCGAGTCTTCTTTGGTCACTCATTTGAGCTAACAGTCATCGTCAAGGCAAACCATATCAATTGTCAATGACAATGCTGTCAGTGACGAACAAGTGTACATTTTTTTATTAACTAAATTTGTAACGAAATTAAAGCACTTGAGCAACACAATTACATGGAGCCATTAAAGTGAACACGCATCTACGGACTGAACTGCTTGGATAACAAAAATGTGACACAGAATGCACAAAATTACACTTTTTGTTACCAGATGAATCTTTGTCATTGACGAAAAAACGAATGAGATTTTTTTTTGAGAATCAAGTCTGTCAGTGACCATATGAAAAACAATTTTGTCAATATCGCGCGAAAGTCTGTCAATCAATGATAAATATCAACACTGATTCGAAGTGTTTCTGGTTAACGGGGTGTTTACACTTATGCTATTTCACTTGCGCTAATGAGCTAGCTGCTTGCAAAAAAGCTCACTAGCATAATGTAAACAGGGCATCAGTGTCTACCAGTATGAAATTCGTGCTAGTTGGCGAGTAGACTAGCGCGAGTAAATCCGCACAGATGTAAACACCCCATAATTGACAAAGGTCATGTGGTATTCAGTCATTGCGAGAATTTGTATGTACCACTTCAACGATGTTACGAATTTGACCACAAACGTTTGGCTGATGGGTAAATTATCAGGGTGTCGATTCAATAAAGATAACCAAATTCCCTTATATTCCCTGATTTTCCAGTAGATTTTTTTTTTACCTTTCCGTTTTTGGGAACACTCATCAGCTATTGCTTTCCACAGATATGTATTAGTGTTTTCTGGACATTTTTTCATGAAATAGCACATGGACCTCTAATGTATGAAGAATGGTTCAGTGCAATCTCAAATTGAATAAAGCGTTCGATACATGTTATGAATGCAAAAAAGACAAAAAAATACGGGTTGACAAATACGGAAAGGCGCCAGGTTATAGTTAAGTTCAAGCAGTCACCGGGAGGTTACTATGATTGACAGCGATGTGTGAACTGCTACCATCTCGATATCAATCTACAAAAAAAAAACTACAAGGGACAGCCCTATGGGATTGTACACAATGGTGACGTAGGTTTTTTTTTTTTTTAAACTTTATTTTAGAGATTTTTAGCCTGAGGCTCGGTGACGTAGGACTACGTGGTCTTATATAATAAATCTTATTTGTTAACTGCAGCAGGAGCTTGTGTTTTGTGTAGAAATAGGAATTTGAGCGCGGTTCTCGCTGTTTATACTCTTTAGTATGACGCGCTTGGCATAGATGGCCCACAGCGACTCACGAAGAGCTACTGATTCCGATCAATAGCGGTGCGGCTTCTTCCTCCCTCTATGGATGCTCATGTGGACTGCTGCTTGCAGGCAGCGTTTCGTTGTGTACTGGAGAACATCACCACTCACCACGCAGTGATTGAATACACACCGTTTGGTGAGACCGGATGGAATTCAACTTTGAAATCTGTGTTTGGGAAATCGATTTTTTCAGGCAATCGGTGATAATTTTAATTATTATAGCAACAGTGGCACATTCGTGCAATTTTCAGCAGTGGCATTTTGAAAAATGATTAAATTTAACAGATGCGTAGAAATATTTCTGATCGATTGATGATAAAATTATTGAAAAAACGTTGAAAGAGTGCAAGGCGTTTATTGGCAACAGTACGAATCAATTGAAAGTTTCATACCCTATTCTACCTAGGATCAAAAGTTTACCAAAGATTCACAAACCAGGAAACGAAATGAGGGAGATTATCTCGGCTGAAGGATCCCCCACTCATAAGCTTGCCAAATGGCTAGTAAATGAATTTCAAAATATGCCTAAACCCTTTTCCACTCGCTCAGTTAACAGCACACAGGAATTCGTAAGTCAGCTTCAGGCATCAGGAGAGATTCGGAAAGATGAAGTCATGGTTTCATTCGATGTCACAGCACTTTTTCCGAGTGTACCAGTAAAGGAAGCCATCAGCCTTTTAGAGGACTGGCTTCTGAAGCAACGTGAGGATTCTACTTGGAAAAACAAAGTTCGGTCATATCTCAAGCTTACTCGTCTTTGTATGGAGGAAAATTATTTCATTTTCAGAGGAAATTTCTATAAACAAACTAAAGGCGCTCCTATGGGCAATCCGCTTTCTCCATTTTTATGTGAATTGTTCATGGCTAACCTAGAAAATACTCTGGAGGATAGGAATTTGTTGCCCAAATGTTGGTATAGGTACGTGGATGACATCTTTAGCATTGTCAAAAAGGAAGATTTATCAAAAACTTTGGAGGCCATAAGCAACGTTCACAAGGACATCAAATTTACTCACGAAGAAGAGAGAGACGGCAAACTCCCCTTCTTAGATCTTCTCATCATCAGGGAAACGTCTTCGTTCAATTTCGAAATCTATAGGAAACCAACAAACACAAAGAGAGTAATACCAAGCACTTCAAACCATTCCCATCAACACAAAATGGCCGCTTTTTACCACATGGTTCACAGGATGCAAACTCTTCCTCTTAGCGATACAGGCAAATCAAAGGAAATAGCTCATATTTTTGAAATCGCTAGACTTAATGGGTATCAAGAAAAAACAATTCAAGCAGTAATCGATAAAAGAACAAGGGATCATTTTAGGCGTATTTCGACAACTCTTACACCAGTAAAATTTAAAATGAGGGTTTAAAACGGGTAGCGGTGAATTTCGACAAAAACATTACCAAACCATTGATTTCAAAGTTTAGAAGTTTTGGCCTAGATTTAGTATTCAGCAGTAGGAAAAATCAGCTGAAGTCACTGTTAGGATCAACTAAAGATTCAATAAATGTCTTAGGAAAAGCCGGAGTCTACAAAATCTCTTGTCCAGATTGCAATAAAATTTACATTGGTCAGACGAAAAGGACTTTAGAAACAAGGTTTAAGGAACACATCGCAGAGGTAAAAAAGGCTAACAAAGAGATGGATAAAGGACTTCATTATGAATTTAAATCCAAGGTTGCAGAACATATCGTTACAAAGGGGCACAATTTGACTAAGGAAAACATTAATATCCTGCGGACTGTATCTTCGCCTTGGAAACTAGACGTAGCTGAAAGTCTAGAAATATTTAAACATAATCCATCAGCATTGCTTAATAGAGATCAAGGAAACGGATACTCGAGACTCTTTAGCATGCTACCTAAAACAACACATCGTAGCATGTATCTACCTGTTGGAGACTGAATTTAGGTACCTGGTTAGGTAAATTTTGACATGGTAGTGGATACCTGCTGATTTTTAGTACCTATTGATTAGTATATAACTCGTAGATAAAAGATGGATTCTTCAGTGGTGTTGAGTACTTGGCACTGATGAAGTATGCAAGTAGTAGACGAAATACGCGTATCTGTCAAAAGATAAGCAATTATAACGGAATTTAAAGGAAATAAACCAACCCACTCAAAGCACTTCTTAAAGGGATTCCGTTAAGAGGTTCGACAAATTTAAAGGATTGAAATTTGTCCAGGGGCAGCTGAGTTATTAACGTTCAAAATCTTTCATAATTTTGTTACATGTCCCATTTTCGGTTTTCACAAAGTGTACCCCATATAGAAATCACAGACGTAGTCCTACGTCAAAAGATTTGCCTAACCACATAATGTTTTCAGCGAATTCGGCGATCCGTTTCTTACCACGATTTACTCCATGATACGAGAAGAGGTCCTTGACATGGACATTTTCTCACCCTTAGAAGTTCTTTTT